GCAAGGGAGGTAGAAAAGTGGTCCGCCCGTCACGTTTCATTCCCGGAGCATAAGTCATACGTCATTCAATGTTTATTCATGAAACTTTGTCTACACATCAGGCATACACTGAACTGGAGCCTTGTGCTATGCAGGATTTTTTTGCGTTTCTATGGCAACAAGTTGGACATCAAAAGAGGGTAGGCATCGTTTCCAGAGCATAACTCGAAAAATGTTATTATTTCTTTGCGCAATGCAAGTGCTGAACTGATGGGTTTAGTTTGACAAGTTGAACTTAGGTTCAAATGAGGGTTTCACTTCGCCGTTGAAAAACAACTGTCGCAGTGTCAGCATCTTCCCGAGGCAAGCTTGTTCACTAGCCTACATCAAAGCCTTGTTTCTACCCTTGCAAAATCAAGCCAACTTTGCTTGGCTCGACCCAGGCGCCACATCGCGTAGATCACGAGTTGTGCCTCTTGTCATGAAAACGCGATATCCAATCAGATCGCTGTTCTTATTTCGTATAGCTTCACAAAGACAGCGTTGGGTGTTGGTGTTTGTTTGTTGTTTAACGCCGCACTCAGCAATATTTCAGCTACATGACGGCGGTCTGTAAATAATCCAATCTGGACCAGACAATCCAGTGATTGACAACATGAGCATCGATCCACGTAATTGGGATCGAAGACATGCATCCCGATCCCGTTAGTCGCCTCTTACTACAAGCATAGTCGCCTTTAACGGCAAGCAAGGGTTGCTGAAGACATATTCCCGGGCCGGGATGTTGATGACTTCAGTTAACATCCGATCGACGATAATATACAATACCCATATGTAATGGCAAAATAGGGTTCATTTACGGCCTCAGATAATTCATATTTTTATTTTTAATAGTATAGATCTGTTCACATGACATTATTACATGACATGATAAAATATCAACCGATGAAACACAGAAATAGGATAAAAATCCATCTCAGTCATCAATCCATCATCCGCACAATCCGAAATCCGAAAATGCTTTAACTGCGGGGATACTTTTTTATTTTTAACTATAACGGTCAGGGGTATTTCCAAATGATGACATCCGATGAGTGTCCATCGTTCATTTGTCTGCTTGTTTAGGTTGAGAAATTAATTAACATGCGCTCTCTGTAATATCGAAATCTTCATAGATCACAGGTAACCAGTGTTAAGAAATGTATATATATATGGCCTAAAAGTTAATTTACGTTTTCGTTACAGACGGTAGCCAAGTCTCCTGTCACGCTTAGTTGCGTTAGCGAGCAAATCGACTCACGGCAGCTTGTGAGCCTAAGCCGGTAGTGTCAGACAGCCGGGTAGAGCCGAGTTAGTGCCTCTTTAAACTGACAAGCCGTGAAATAACCGAAATACTGTTCAACGCGGCAAGTGGTGTTTTGATCCGAAAAAAAAAATTAATTATCGTATGAATGCCACGCGCATCTTGTTTCTTTTCTCGAAAAAGAATCACAGAAGGAAAACTTTGTGTTGCATCAACACGGCGGTAACAAATTATAATGTCTGACAATTATCAGTAAGCCAAAAGCAGGGTCTTGTGAAATGCATTCATAAATAGGACAAACAAAACATTATTTACAAAATTGGAGAGCACTTTCTCAATCAAATGTCTCCTATTAATAAGATAGTATCTGCAACAGCAGCAAATAGAATTAGAAAAGTTCCCCCAACAATAGTTAACGAGGATGAAAGAGCTTTTTTGTCAAAAAGATACATTGGAGAATGCACTAGATTAAATTACTGTATTATCGGCCGACCTGTCATGGACTATGGAACAGAATAATAACAGACGAGAATGTTTGGATATAAAAGGCCTGGCCCCGATTTCTCGAAACAAACTTAAGTTAAAAAAACACACTTAAATTAAGTCTGAGTTTTTACTCAAATTTGAGAAAACTCAGCAAAATGCATTTCTCAAACCAAACTCAGTTCAATTTTCGACTCAAACTGAGTTTACAACTTGAGTTAGGTAGGAAGGTAACTTTAGTTTTTTTGTCGGTCATAAAATGGCGGTGTTGAATAGACGTAGGCGTCGTAGGCAGAAACAAATATCAACATTGTCAAGGGGATTAGTCGATAGACAAAATCCTCTTGAGTTCATGGAACCCGAGGAGTTATTCATGAGGTTCCGTTTCCGTGCGGAGAGCATTTTATTTATTGTTTCCCTTGTTTGTAAGAAACTTGAACGGTGCTCCAACCGAAGCAGCCCATTACCTGTTTTAACGCAGGTACTTGTCGCCCTGCGTTTCCTGGCCACTGGATCTTTTTATTCTTTGATCGCGGATTCATATTCGATTATTTCAACTTCTTCGGTGTTTCGGTCAGTCAGAGATGTATGCACTTGTCTGATCGAACATCTCCGGCATTTTGTATATATGCCAACTGGACAAGATGCAGACAAGATCAAGAAAATGTTCTTCCAAATTGCAGGTGAGTGTGTTTGAAAGCGATTCCTCTTCAACTCGCCTCTTCAGTGGTGTTATTAATTACTAGGTCAAATAAGGGGGAGCTACTCTAATTCTTGTCATTTCTATATAAAAAACCTTTCCCATTCTAAAACGAACAGCTATCATCATGACATAAATCTGGAAATTCTGACGAAAACTTCCAATAAAAATTACGTTTATCATATTTTAACATATACACTTTAAATTTCCAATACCTTTTGTAAAATGCATAAAAATAAACGCCTTCAATCGTTTAAAAAATCAAATTGTAATGAAATATTTTATAAAATATAATCAAAGATAATTACCATAACAGCCAACTCAAAATTCTTGACATAATGTTATTTAAAATTGGCAATATATTCCTGATAATAACAATAATTTATCATTAATGAATCTTAAAAATGATACATATAATTTAATTTTTCAGGTTTCCCCAATGTTCTGGGCTGCTTAGATGGAACCTTCATCCGCATTATAGCACCCTCAAGGAATGAAGTCGATTATTTGAATCATAAAGGATTTCACTCACTCAATGTTCAGGTAATAATATTATGTTTATGACACTTAATAATTGTTATTGCCAGAAGCTAAAATCACTTATGTTCATGTACGTTTTATGTTTCATGAAATGTATGACAATAGAATCTATATTTTAAAATTCACAAATCACTGCCTACACAGTGGCAGCCAAAATATGAATCATACCATTTCAATTATTCTTTTGTTATAATTTCAATCAATCTGTTTACTGACCAGTGACATGCAGTGTTTTGTGCTTATAAATGTATTGAACTGACCTATTAATTCTATCACTTATCAGATGATATGTGATGCCAACTACAAGTTCATCAATTGTGTTGTGAAGTGGCCAGGGAGTGTCCATGACAGCCGCATCTTCCGGGACAGTAAAATCATTATGGTTCCAAGACAATTGGTTATTGCATCACTGTTAAATCAGTAAAAAAAACATTTTCTGCATGTCATGATCAAATGTCACCAGAATGAATCACACAAATTCTGATCTGCTTCATTTTATAGGAACATACAAAGGCTTTCTTCTTGGAGACTCGGGATATCCATGCAAGTCTTACTTAATGACACCTTTCCTCACAACCTCATGCCAGGCTGAAGAAAGATATAACAGAAGTCACTGCAGAACTAGAGTTTTAGTCGAACAGAGTTTTGGAATTTTAAAACGAAGATTTTCTTGCTTACACAGTTGATTAAGAACAACACCTCAAAATGCTTGAAAAATTATAACTGCCTGCGTGATTCTACATAATATTGGTATTGATAGAAAAGATATAATAAATGTTGATCATGATGATATTGACACGAAATAATACATGTGTGAACCCATCACACTTGTTAAATTAATAATTAAATGTGCGAATCCATTGCACTTGCTAAAATAATAAATGTATGCAAATCTAACTCACTGCAAAGGACGTTGAACCCGATACTTCTCAGTCCTGCTTCAGACATCAATGGGAGCAGAGCACAAGCATGTTTTGCAAATATTTCAGTACCTACCTCATGATGATTCTTGGCCAGAGATGAATCACAATTGCAAATATGTACTTGTGTTTTCAAAAATTCATTTATCTACTGAGACATATCTCACTCCTAAAACAGTCCAGTAAAAATTACAGAAACGTATGTATTATTATTAATATCTTATTATTATCATTGTTATTAGAGCGGAAATACAGTACACCCCAATCACGACCCTCATGCAGCTAAAGCCTTTTTAGGTTTTCCTGATGACAAGGCCCAGATATACCTGAAACTTCCAGACTTACTTTCATCCACTTTAACATGCCACAAATATGATATTTCGGTATAACTGTTCTTCCCGTCTCTTAGTTCCCGACTTCTCTTTAGCCAAACCTTCGTGTTTGCAGTGAAATCGAGACAGTAAACAAGGTGTGAATGATGATGGTACGCTTTAAATATAATATCGCGGTGATTAATTTATAGTTGATCGTAACGGCGAATGCTTACCAACACAGTAACTATGTAATACGAAAAAATGTTTCTTATTCATTATTCAACTATGACACATCCATTGGTATTGATCGATGCTGATTTTCTTTATCCAATATTCGGTAAACAAAGCTTCCCGTCATTGGCCACTCAAGGGCGGGCAATTCTAAATCATCTCGCTATGGCTATTTTGGTGTGATACGTGTGGATTATGTGTTTTTCATCACTTCCTGTTTTGGATTATGCATATTCAGTATGCATACGACCTCGGCTGCATGGGTCATGCGACAATGCCTACAAAAATTGATTGGAGGTAGGGACTTTTCCACTTCAAAAAACATTCCAGAAAATATCATCAAAAGAGTTAACGTGTGTATACTTGCAAGAAGTCGTTACATACCGCAACCAGTCCTGTATTCGATCATGCGATGAACTATCGCACTTAGATTTGCATAAGTAAACAGTCGACAGGTTTTGTGGATTACGAGATTTGCCGACACCGCGATAATAGAGTCATACTATAACAACTGCAACTATGTGACTTACGCGTTTAGGGTATTCACCACCTCCTCCCAGGCTTGTTCTTTGATTTTTCCTCCCTTCTGTGTGCCGCATCCTTTAAATTTTCCAAACAGTCGATGTTGAATTTTGTTCACATTGTCAATTAGTAAAATTCGCTCTTCTTCAGTCCAATTCGGCCTCCGTTTGCTTTCAGCCATCGCGGATATGTTAGCAGACGACAAAACGTAACATCACGCGCATCCGTGTTTACATTGGAAATAGACTGGTTCCCGTTCGTTCCTGCGACAGACTGGAACAACCGGTATTGGGTAAAACAACCTTCACCTTGACGTTACGGTAAACTGGTTTAGCGCCTTTGCTGGTTATATAGACAGTAACATAGTCAAGACAAGATGGCGACTAATGTGTCGTCTGTCAACAGTAACATAGAAATTGCAAATATTTTGGCTCGGGCGAACAGGTACCAATCTTGTATTTTTTTCCAATTAAAGGCTAAACAACGTGATGCTATTTTGGCATGTGCATCAAGGGGTGTTTTGGGTGTTCTACCGACTGGTTACGGCAAAACTGTTGTGATAAAGTGAACGATTCCGCCAGCACTGTAGTGGTTGTGAATCCACTAAATGCGATTCTCGAAGAGCAGCCAATCGCCTCCGTAGCCACAGTGTAATAATTATAAATAAATGTATGTTTCATGTTTGGAAAATAGTGCTATTTAATATGTAAACCTCCTGAAAGGGCGATACCTTGACGTGGTCAGGAGGCTTAATTCTCTTTGACTTTGATATGGTCGTAAGGGAAGACCAAAATCGCCTTGTTGTAGTGATTATTTTATGGCACAATTGTTAAATGTTTTCTATAAATAAACATGTCTTAGTGTACTGTGTCCCATTATCCTCACCCCATATTCAAATTTTAGATCAGTCACATTATTGTTGATGAGGCGCATTGTGTCATATCATGGGGGAAATCTAACTTTCGACCGGCCTTTCTCAAAGTAGGGGATTTACGTGCAATCCTTAGAGCCCAGTATGAAATTCAGCAGGCTTTGTGCATAGTGAATCCTCTAATTGCAGCTTAAACTCCTGGCAGGGGAAATTTGCAATCAAAATAGATTACCAGCGAGGTATTGATACACTTTGTTGATACCCAATTTATGAAAACTTGACATGTTTCGGAAACATTTCCCTAATCCCTATTAAATCTATTTAACAGTATCCCAACTAAAATTTAGTACATTGAGTCATTTGATAACACTGATGTAGACATGGAGATCTAAGATTAAGTATAGCCATGGACTTGTATATAGGTCTGTGGTTTTGCATACAATGCAGCAACCTATAATCTAAAGGGCATCAACATTACTTACAAGGGTCAAAAGGGAAAATACCTCCCAAAAGGGTTATAGATTATTTGTTATTAGACTTTCTGCACATGGTTGACCACTGGACAAAAATGATGTTTCACACATACATACATACATACATATGAATTTAATAATATTCTTAATGCTATTGGAAATGTGAAGTACATCCAAAGTAGTAGTACTAGTACAGTATACTGTCATCTCAAGAAGAAAATTAACACCACAACAATTGCACTCAGAAATCTTTCAATATATTTTCGAATATACACACTACAACATGTACAATCTATAGTATGGTTTGATAAGCTAAGGCAATTCATGTAGCGAAGCACTTTGACAATTACAGAGGTTACCGTATTTGACGTAATAAGCGCCCAGGGCGCTCTCAAAATTAGAAGTAGGGAGCTCTTATTAGGATATTATTTTGAGTTGAAAGATCGTAAATTTTGTGGTTTATGCTGACAGCCTGAAATGTTTATATACGACAGATATATCTTTCCAGGATTTAATTGCCCATAATTAAGGATGCATATGACATACCAGTGCGTATTATACACAAATAAATAAGTCTTGTGTACATTAATCAATTGGAAGGGATGCTAACTGAGATTGTTCATTAGCCAATATATTAGCAAATATCGCCGTGGGTGCTTATTAGAGCAGGGCGCTTATTACGTCGAATACGGTAGTTACAAATAATCATGACGTGACAAATCCCGAAATTTGAACAGTTACCATTCATCTCATCAACTCTTAAAATATGTGATAATAATCACACTTGTTAGTGAAATCATAGAAAAAATTGTTTACTTTTCTTATTCTCCATTCACCAATGTTTAGAAAACATATTGTTCTTAAATGCCAAGTTTAGTATGACAAATGGAAACGTAAAAACAATTTACAAACAGTCTTTTAAACATTTTTCGTTTGAGAAATGGTAACATAAACTCAATATCCTGATTTTGTTTCACAGTAAATATGAATTATGTATAATTGCTTATGTCTGTATGTTTACACTAGTGATCATCAATCAACATTGTCACTAAAAACAATTGTGAAAGTGAAATTCTAGTCACAGAATAGGTATGTTTTTGCCACGAAATACAGCTGGGATTGATATTAGTTACAAGAATAAATAGTTATAACACTGAAATATCTTTCTTCGATACTGCACAAAACAACAGTACAACATGATCATAGAATTAATATCACACAATCCAATTTGAATGGCCCCAAATATATGGTGAAAATATACAACAAGTGAACATTAACCTCATTAACAAACATTTGCATATTGATAACCCATCTCAGCTTTTTCCTGAACTTGTGAAAGTATCCATGCCAAATGGCAAAGAAATCTGTTAATGCGATAATTGAGCATTTATTCATTTTGTTGTACATGAATACATTGTACCAGTTTGACCAGATGAGTCAAAGATACTCTTCCAGGAACATTTCTTGATTGGTGGGTAAGAAATTCTGCCAATTTACATTATTTTTTCTGCCTTTTAATCTTTTTCTTTGATAAGATTTGGGTTCTCTTTTGATTTGCTTAGTTATGCTCAAGCATAATTGAACAACAGACAACTGGTGAGGCTGGTTCACTGACTGTAAGTGGTTGCAAGCAGTTTTGTTTAGGCACCAACGGAGAAGTGGCATCGGTTGAGGGTATGTCAGAGACATGGCAGGTCTGTGAGCGTATGGCGGGTGAGGCTGGTTCACTGACTGATACATTTGATAACATAGATCTAATTAAGGAATGCGAATGAGTGGTATAAAGTGCATGACTGCTACATGCCCAGGTCACTTCAATCATAGGCCCAAAAGTTACATCAGTCTGTACACCCATTTCTCTGGTCTTCGGCACAGTCCTTCCACTCTGTGTATTTGATATTTTCCACCCCCCTGCTCTCCACAAACTGTCAAAAATTTCTCCTCATCTCTAGTCCATCTCCCATTATGGCATGGTTCCTGCAAAATATTACCTATGTATTATTTTTTTTCAAATATTCTAAATTTAGGGAAATGGTGCAACATCAGTATGTTTATACAAAATTTGTGTCAACAGCTTAAAACAAAACTTATAAAATAATGTAGGGAGTCTCATATAAAACTTGTCAGGATGGCCAATACTGTTTGCTTTGTCTTAATCTTTACCACCTAAACTTTGTATCAATGACTATGTTATGGTACGGTCAGTCATGACTTCATTCTTATGCAAGTTCCTACAAACAAACATGTATGTGTATGCAGTTTGAATACAACTAATAATTACATGGTAATGAATGATTAAATATTAATAAATATAAAGAAATATTACTATAAAGAAATTTTCAAATGAATAAAAAATAATAGTCTGCCGTATCAATATTTGCACGAAATTAGTCAAAAGCCATTATGTGGGTACTAATACTCACCTCTATTACTGCGAAAACTACAATATTTCAAGGCTCTCAAGCCTTGCCCAATGTGTTTTGTCAGCCGCCATCTTGTTTAAGCAGACCATGTTTTATGGTGGGCGATAACGGTCCTTTAATTCCTTGGAAAGCAGAGCAAGAGCAGCGACACCAAGCAGAGGATCCGGGAAACATTCTATGGCCTTATGTGACACCAGCTGTTAATCTGGAGACAACAGATGTAATTACAGTTACTGTACATGTAGTATATTCACAAAGGCATTCAACAACATATTATTATATCATATGTACCTGCATAGGGCCTGTTGCATGTTAAAGTAGTGCAACCTATTCAACTGACTCTTTATGTATTGTAATGCATTGGTTAAACATGATCATTAGATGGACACATTTTAAAAGTCACATCAAATGATTAAATATTTATAAATAAAAATAAATATTACTATATAGAACTTTTCAAATAATTTAAAAATAATAGTCTAGTCTGACCCTATAAATATGGACAGATCTTTGATGTCCTTTCAATTAAATATGAAGCATTTGACGATTTATTCATTGTCCTGATTTTTTTCATCAGTTGATCATATTTATAATGTTAATTCTTTGATTAAATCAAGACATAAGGGACCAACCATTTGATATTCTGATGGTAGGGTTGGGATTTTATTGAGAAAAATAAATTGTCCCTGAAATATGCTTGAAAAAAATATATATGCTTCAAACTTTTGAAAAAAAGAAATTGACTGCTACAACGAATACATTGTTGCAAGAGACATATTAGTCTCATAGTTGTAATTAAAAGAATATCTGGTATTTCAGCTGTAGCTGATAATATGTTTTGTCTCCAAACACAATCCTAGACCCAGACCACCATCCCATTCCCCACTCTCCCACCAATATCAAATGGTCCCTCAGTATGCTCAGGAATTTAATAATATACCCACGAAATTAGGGTACATGACCATATCTGACCATAAACATAGCCCAGTTCAAATGATTCCCGTTTCGTAATTATTGTCACAATAAAATATTTGCAGTTAAATATTTATTCGTGCTTTCATTGCCTTTAATTTTTTTGATGCGGGAATCATCAAAACTATTCACAAAATATTTCTAGATATTATTTCGGTCAAAATTCAGTTTCATGTGTTATCATTGACATTTTGGCCATGTCATGTTGTTGCCTAGAAATGACAATTTCGTACTACCAGACACAATGACAAGCATATGAATTATGAATATAACTGCATATGTAATAGTCCATGCAACAGATAGTTGACAACACGGCAGTTTCATACAGAATTTCTCAGAAACTTAAATTGTCTTGCGTAAGAACTTCATGATAATCTCTTCAGAAGGTAAATTCATAAGAGATTCATCGTCCTCCATTTAGAACAAAAACACTGCCGTGTCAATATTTGCACGAAATTAGTCAAAGAATACATTGACATCCCATAGCCGTTATATTGGTACCAATACTCACCTCCATTACTGGGAAAACTACAATTTTCCAGAGCTCACTAGCTTCGCCCAATGCATTTTGACAGCCGCCATCTTGTTGTAGCAGACGATGTGTCATGGTGGGCGATACCGGTCCTTTGAAAAGCGGAACAAGTGCAGCGACACCAAGCGGAGGATCCGGGAACCAGTCTAACATTGGAAACGGAAGTCAAATCTCGTGCCAAGGCCGCTTACATCGCATATAAAAAAACAACTGAGCTCGAACTTAAGTGCTGAGCTAAAAACAGGCATGCGAGCGAAACCTTATCGGTCCAGCGCCCGTCCAAACCTTGCCACACCTAACGGTATTTATTGAAATAAAACGCTAATCAGCTATAACAATTACAACATTCATAATGTTTTTACATTTTGCTGCAAGGTGCGACAAGAGCGTGGGAAGGGAGGGTGGGTAATTTTTATGAAAGCGTACTCGTGTACTGTCGCGGTTACAAGATGGCGAAGTGAGTGTTTTTGAAATGACGTCATATATATGACGTCATAAATATGACGTCACTTGAGAAACAAACAAAGACGATAGACGAATGTTGTTTGGCAACAAGGCCACGTGTTATCGCTGTGGTTGTTGCGTATCATAAAGTGAAGGGTGTTAATTATTACGGAGTCACCGAATGTATAATTATATTATGATTGTAACTTACTGTGATTATGTAAAGTTGAATATGTGTGTGTATATATGGATGAGTTTGAGCCTATGTGTCCATGTGGACGAAAGGAAATACATGATGTACATAGACTACTTGGATATGCCTGGAATTACATTAAGATTATAAGTTAAGGTAGATTTATCAGGCGGGCCAATAACACCATTTAGCTAAATATTGCTGAATGACATTATGGATTACACTAAATGCAGGGAAATCCTGGGACTGTTATTACTTATAGACTTTGAAAAGTCGTTCGATTCAGTAGATTGGGATTTCATCCAAAAAGCTTGGACCTTTAATTTTGGGCGTAACACTGGATAACAACTTTCTATTACGACATAAAATCTAGTGTTTTAGCAAACGGTTTAGCCTCAGATTGTTTTGAAGTAACAAGAGGCTGTAGACAGGGAGCTTTATCTCCTTATATATTCTTGTTTTCCGCTGAAATTTTGGCATTAACGCTAAGTAATAATAACAAAATAAAGAAAGAAGCATTGATGATACAGAAAATATAACTTCCAGATTGGCAGATCTTACTTATTTGCCAACCTCTAGAATGCCAATCAAACAGTTAGAAGATACATCGCTCATACTACACGGATCTGAACAATGTCTTCAAAACAAACATAGAAACTCATCAAACTGATGCGTCCTTTTCAGGCCTTAAAATTATCACAAGAGTTGTTGAAAGGCCGCAACGCTTCTCTGATAAAACTATTTGCAAAAAAGTTAAATTTAGACTGATCAAAAATAGTTTTACTCTACTCGGCATTATTTTTACCCACAATTTGTCATGAATGGTAGAAAAAATTACAAAGACAAACTTTAAACCATTATCATGAGCACTTGGTTAGCACGTGACCCGACGCCATTAGGTAGAATTACAGTACTAAAAAGTATTATTTTACAAAAACTAACACACCTTTCCTCAACCCGACCTAAACCAAGAGGAAAGTTTATAAAAGAACTAGAAACACGTTGCTTTCGTTTTATATGGAACAACAAACCAGACACAAAAGGAAGAAATATGATAATAAAACCTTATTAAGAGGGTGGCATTAGAGTGTCTGATATCAAACATACAATCACTGCTGAAAAGATATCTTGGATTAAACATGTGTTCCATTCACACCCACACTCTAAACGTAACACTCATTTCATTAATAATACAACTCCCAACATAAACTGATTTTTTGCACACATGGCACCTTTACATTTTGGAACAGGTCATCAAAGCAAGGACCAATACATTTTGGAAAGATGTCATATGCATGGGAAGCTTAATAGAAAAAAGGGAAATTCTATCAAAGAGGAAAAGAATATCTTATCAGAACAGCTTTGGCAAAATACAAACATAAGAAAAAGGGAAATTATAACACTACCCGGGACAAAGTATTAACTTCATAAATGATTTTATAGATGAGAGTGGAAGCTGTCTAGATCTTTTAGACCTAAAAACATTTATGACTAAAACAAATTTTCTGGAATATTCTTGTCTCATACAAGCAATAAAACAATATTACAAGTTTAAGAATATGTCAAAAACATCTTAAGTGCTTCTGCCCTTAATACCGTATTTCCTTAAAAACTCTGTGGAGTGTGGGAGATGTGGAATATTTTATATATCAAATAAGGGCCCCAACAATTTAATATCTCCAAAAACACATTCAAAGAATGGAACTATAATTTGTCATAAATATGACTGGAAAAGATTGGGAAATGATGAATCGCATTGTTGTATTAATCGTAATTATTGCGGTGAACAGTCTCTCAAATGTCATGCATTTCAGGATCTAACTATCGACAACTAATGACATAAAGTAGACCAACTATGACATGTTTTAAACAATTGTTTAAATAAAACAGAAATGCGCGTACTTTCTGTTCAGTTCAGAACATTTTTTACAAGATATGGGTCACAGGGAATCAGGGGAGGGTCACCAAAATATACGACAGTCTCTAGGGAAGGGTCATAAAAAATGATTCACATATTTGGGGAGGGTCATGAAAAAAGGACATTTGATTATAAAATAAAAAGTGCTTTTGCATTTTGTCGTGAAAAGGGTCATGAAAAAAATGTACAAGGACACGGGGAGTTATCTCAACATATGACATATTAGGCGAGGGTAATTATTTTCAGCACATTAGTACATCACAACCCTGTGACCCACTCACTCATCCCTGTAATAAATGACCCGCCCCTTACCCATAGACCGCCGAGGAATGACAAAACATTCACTCACATTAAAAATAGGTACTATTCCTACCGGGTTCCAGAGATATCTGGGAACGGAAAACTTTGATTGTACGGCGTTCGTGTGTGCATTTTACGTCCACTTCAGTTACAAATGGGTTTTTTCACTCATCTGAAGAGACATAAAATGATTAAGACATTGTCACGTCATTTGACGAGAATACACATCCCTTTATGAGTGCTACAATCATGAGATGGGAAAGAACTGTTCCTCCCAAAAATCTTCACAGGGGAATTATCTTTCAACAATTCCTATAACAACTTATGCCTAGAGTGAGTGGGTTAGGTTTAAGACTGCTTTGGACAGTATTCCAGTTATATCAGGGTGTCTCAACTTGAGGAAAACCCGGAGGGATGCAGGTCTCAAACATTTACCACTTGGGTGAAACCCATCACAGGTTTCTGGTGTGCCGAAGGGACTTAACTCCGCACAGCAAATTGTGGCGCCTCAGACCCATGAGCCACCCGAGTCCCTACCTGAACATAGAGGTGAGGTGAAATCGGGTTTAGAGTCACAAGATTGTTGCACTTATGTAGCATGCACCTCCTGTGTATATGTGTGTGTGTGGCTGCTTGTACTTGTCAGGACTAATGCCGATTTAATAGTGCTATCCCACCGAGATACCATGCCGCAGTTTAACATGAATACCCTACTCGGCATACTGGCTCCTTGTTTTAGCCCCTTAATGCCAGGCGTTGGGCAGGGTAACAACAAGTACCATCTTTAACGTCTTCTGGTATGACGCGGCCAGGGATCTAACCCCGGATCTTCCTCTTTCCAGGAAGATGCTCTATCCTCTAGACCACGGAGGTGGTCTCCCACACATAGAACAATTATTCAAAGGCTATGGAGAAAAGTTCAGTTTTAATCATAATAAAGACTCATATTTTTTTATCGGTATGTTTTCTATTTATTCAAACATTGAACATCCTCAATGCTTACACAAATCAAAGCATGCACATGCAGTTATAACAGATATATAAATATACACAATCATTGAGCATCATCCTGATTATGGCGAGTACGGCCAGCAAAAGGACAGTATTGATCACACAGGGTGGACAGGGCACCACTCGTTTGGTTACAACACATAATTCCAGGTCATCAAGACCAAATCTCCACCTTGGCACACTCTTATTACAAGCATGGGGTACTGGGGACCGATTCAGCCGTAGAATCAACATGAATACAGTTAAAGAATTCCATAGTGCTCTAAACTTTCACATCCACAAATGAGTGAGTGAGTGAGTGAGTTGGGTTTAACGCCGCTTTTAACATTATTACAGTTATATCGCGGCGTGTCAGCTTAATGTGGGAGGAAAGCCCGAAGTGATGCAGGTCTCAGACGTTTACCACTTCGGTGAAACCCACGAGCACGGGTAGGGTGCTGACAAATCTAGAAACATAATCAGGGCGAACCGGGATTCGAACCCACAATCATAGGTTTCTGGCGTGCCCAAGGGACGCAACTCTGCACAGCGAATCGCGGCGCCTTAGACGACTGGGCCACCCGTGCCTCCCATCCACAAATGAGTCCTCCAAATAGTATCATGATGGGCTACTCATAAAAACATCCATTTTTATATGATGTGTTTCTCATAAAAAATCATCTTTTTTTTCATTAATATTTTCATAACCGAGACATTATTTCTGAATTGAACAGTATATCTATTGGATAATTTATACATATTACATACCATGTATACAGGGATGAGAATGTTTTTTTTATAAAAAGAAAACACTGAAAGTTCACTGGCGGACAATATGATTTTTTTGCATCGCTATATATAACTAGAATGAGGGGGGTCAGAAAGGGGTTTTCCTGTGAATGGGGTAGAAGATCTCACGGTATATTGTAATAGCATGCATCATAAAAATTATCCTTGATGTAACGAAACCCGCCAAAAATTCTCATCCCTGGATAATTTGTATGTACACCTGAAAAACGTTACCCTCTGCTTACTACATCCTTTCATATAAAATAAACATTTTGTACATGGTATCCTGTATTTATTTCTCTCACATTGTTTTGGTCCGCAAAGAGATATATAATGAAATACAGAAGAAAAATTGATTATCTAATGACCCGTCTCGTAACTATACCATGGAAATTGTTTGTTTGACTATAACTGCTTCCATTGCCTCCTTGTATACAAGACTCAGTCCCTGCATTCGTCTAGACTGTGTTCTCATACTAACTTTTCAGTAGTTACAAGTGTCATCTTTAGACATTTATTTATCAAAACATGAGGATATTTCCAAAAGATACATGGAAACTGATGATGTATGAAACTGGAGCAGGTCATTTGCTCAGTGTGTGAAAAAGTCTCAAATATTGTTGGCCAGGTAGGCTAGCAAGCCTTAACAGTTACCAGCCAGTTTCAAATTTTACACGCTTAACTATGCAATGGTTAATCTTTCCAGAAATTTGATTGTGTGAAGGTATCAATAGAGTAAACAAGAATTGCAAATCATGAGTCAAATATTATGAAGTTTGTAACTCTGATCTCACAACCTTGATTCGTTATGGATATTTATTTTAGTTTTAGTTGTATTGATTGACAGAAATGGGAGAATTCTTGTTGATTTTCATCAACTATTAAAGCAGTGTGCATAAAAATATCACAAGTTAACTTTCAATAGCCAGTCAAATAGCTGTGGACATTTCAGAATCTCAAGCCCAGTTCTAATTTGGCTACCCAGGGGCTGGCAAGCAGGTGTCTTCTCACACACTGAATATGCCTAACTTGTTTCTATTGTATAAAGGTTTCTTTCAATCTGGTAATATCTGTTTTTTCATCCATATGTAACCATGGTAACAGCCGTTCTAATCTACAGCCTACCACTGACTCGTTTGTGGCAGTCAATGTCAATATATGAATAAACGCTACATCAGATTGTCAATATATTCCTTTTTGTATTGTAGCTGTGAACATAACCTACAGACACAGAAAAAAGACCCCATTATATAGGACACTAATTTGCCAAATTATGCCTTCATACAGAAGACCTTGACAAAAAGCATGCTACTCAAATAGGGTATTCAGGTCAAAATGATCATCAGTAGTTTTAGATAACAGTCATTATTATTCATGAAGCGCATCCTAACAAAGAGATTTCTGACAGAATAATCTGTAGCAATGCTGTCGGTAATATTACAGATATATGAATACAGTATTCAAACTCCACATAAGCTGCATATTTGTGTAAAATAAACAAAATAAATCAACATTCTCCCAATAATTTTGACTTGCTTGAATAAAAATAAGCTTGAATTATTTTTTAAAAACAACAGTATTACCATGGTAACAACACTGTGTCATTCCCCAATGCGGCAGTAATGTCGATAAGAAAATATTAAGGGGGGATGAGGTTGTGTGAATGGTTAACTCAAAGATCATGTCGGTAGAATGCCACAAACTGGCGGCCATTTTGTAATGTTCTGTACAACAACAACATGTCTATTTGCTCATAAATTGCCACGAAACGAGGCAAATTGAAGCAAAGATTTAACCTCAGAGTGCAGGAAGTGACATTTGATGGGGGAGGAGTTCTAAACTTTTCAGACCCCCCTGGGTAACTCAGCCCTAGCCTCCAACATTTAGTTTGGGGCCAGTTAGTTTGGAGAAGGGCCAGTAACCTTTGACAGGAGCAAGTCCTGCTGGCTGCATATTAATTTGTTGTTAAATCTTCCCCTTTAATAACTAAATCTGGGGTGAACAAGCCAGCGAGGAACAGGCCACATTTTTGTATAACAGGCAATTAAATCCGTTTGTTGACTTGACTTATTTTGAATTACTCCAACCTGTCTAAAATAAACATACAACTGTACTGCAGCAGGGTTAGAAACTAACAGTTTTTGTCCACTAGTCCATATAATGATAACATATAGCAAAACCCTTAAAATGGGCCAATTTCTACTAGTCCTTAGGATTCCATTACTACTGGGCAGTTTGGTAAGGACTACAGGACTAGTGCCAATTTCTAACGCTGCTGCAGTATATAATTCGAGCAATATCATATATCATAACCATGATTGTTTCATAAACATAACTTTGTCACGTTCAGTATGAAATAATTAAGGATATCGAAGGGTAACAGTCACAAAAAGTATAAAATCATGTAGTGTAGCATTGATACGATATACTGGGAATCTCTTTTGAGAAAGGAGTCTTTTCTGCAGGTATGAAAAATAACATTCAATTTTGATTAAATGTCAAGCAATCAGAATCCCAGGAAATAGGATAATACACTCACCTTGTAATTATTGAACATTATTTAGTTGGAGTAAAATTGGATTAAAAATATATGTATTCGACATGTTCAAGAACAAACATAATGATGAGATAAACGGAATAATCATAGTGTCTAATAGAAAGGAAGCACTTGTTCTTAAATTTGACACTTGTTCAATATTGTGTTGAAATGCCTTCAGAGCATGATAAAAGTGTGACTGAGTGAGTATTGTTGATGTCGCATCAGTTGTCTTGCAACTATTTGTGGCGTATCACAAGATGGGGGACAATAATCATGAAATATCAACTATCGTAGATATATTGAAAACGGAATATGCTGGTATTCCTACTCGCCGCACATATCGGACAGATTGATTGATAACATGATACATGATACCTACAAGATTGAAACTCAACAGCCAGCTGTGTACCAGGAGTCAATAAAGCTCCACACATACAAACAGCAAGCCTCATGGGAGCTCTCGGTCAATAGACTACCATGTAAACAAGTGACATTTGGGCAGTGACAATACGGTCCTTGTCTGGCCTGATTATGACAAATATGTAGTATATATAGATATAACGAAATGGTACTTATCTAAACCTTTGGACTCACAACTCAAACCGAGCAGATAGTGTGAAGGCATTGTCAATTTGTAGGTGAAGTTCTAGTAGCAAAGCGTAGCCAATGAACATATACTACACTGTCCTCAAAACAAGAATGTTTCAGAATTTATTTTCAAATATGACCATTAGTTTTACTGAAATACAAATGTTTTACCTTCAGGACATTATACATAAATAAACAAATCTCATTTAGTATATTTACTATGTGACTTTTCAGAAATCCTAATAATCATGATAATAAATGGAGCCCAACTATAAACCATGCTTACCAAATCCCACAGAATATTACAGCACCGATCACCATGCAGTGGTGCAGGTGGATATTAACACATAATGATCATGTGAGATTGTGAATTAAAATAACTACAGCGGATATCATGAAGTACCTTGTCATTCATTACATCTGCAATTCATACAATTATTACTTGAAGTACATGTCTGATGGTAAAATAGCAAGATACCAGATACAAGATAATCAGTTTTTACACTAAGTTATGAAGCAATATTCTTTCCCTTATACCATATGTCATAATGAATATTCAGAGCCCATTCCACAAAGCGATCTTAGCGCTAAGACTATCGTAAACCTATGTTAAAGTATGGGAGTTACGATCATCTTAGCGCTAAGATCGTGTTGTGCAAGTGGGCCCAGTACTTCAACGTAGAGTTACGTGAGTCATAAATCTGGGATGGCTTTGTGAGCATAGCCCTGATCAACAGCTTGACATTGTCACTACTGTGAGAGAGTGAGAGAGTGAGACAGGTTTCAGCCTCTTCCAGCAATATTCCAGCAGTATCACGGCTGTGGACACCAGAACGAGCTTTACACAGTGTATCAATGTGGGAGTGAAACCCGGATCTTCAGCACAGCGAGGAAACACTTTAACCTCTTGGATACCCTTGTCCTATCACTGCTTATGAAGCGACAACCAAGAGACATATCACAAGCATGCATGATATTAAGCTCTATCACAACATGCAATACACTAGAGAAATATCAATTTGGTTACGTTTGTGCTTGTTTAGCATGTTTAGCATGTTTAGAACATATGACATAAATTAAGGGCATTCAATAAAACATCTTTGTTAATACTGTCATTAATGTTGATGAGTTAGTTCAACCATGCCAGGTTTCAGTCATAAGCTTTTGAGTCTACTCCTTAGGCAGCACTCTAAGTAGATTCTAATCTGAGGTGAGGTGAAATTGGGTTTAACGTCGCGTCCAAGATTATTGCACTTACATAGCGACGTGCATGCACGTGTGTGTCTGTGGCTGCTTGTACTAGTCCGGACGGATGCCGATTTATAGTGCTAGCTCACTGAGACACCATGCCGCAGTTTAACATGAATACCCCCCTCAGACACAGTATACTGACTCCGAGCCGACCAGTCCTTGTTTTAGCCCCTTAATGTCGAGCGCCAGACAGGGTAACAACAAGTACCATCGTTTAACGTCTTTTGGTATGACGCGGCCGGGGATCGAACCCCGGACCTTCCGCTCTCCGGGCGGACACTCTACCACAAGACCACGGAGGCGGCGATTCTAATCTGAGCAAAAGGACTTATATGATGATGATGATGATGATGATGATGATGATGATGATATACTTAGTTTATTCATCTTCCTGGACCATATCTTTTGGTATACTTGACCTTTAAAATTTCCCTGCAGTTATGAGACATATCTCCAGATTAACAGGAAACACTGACTAGTTTGGCTGTCGGTTTGACCAGATGTCTCTCACTGATCACTGTTACAGCCTAACATCAGCTGATTTTAATGTTAAAACCTTTGATAACATACAGTAAACTAAAATCATAACGAACTCAAAATGACCACTAAGTTTAGTTTGTTATATCCGTCGTTTGTTATACGCATTTCGACCATCAGACATCTATTATCATGTCATGTGACATCATGTTACTCGATAAATAACAAAAGTGTGGACTGTACATGTAGAGAATATATCCACTTCAATCACTTCAATTACTATTGTTAATTGAGGGTGTAAATGGAGGACAAGGTGTCAGTACTTAAGAGTAAATCAAATACCTTCAATTGTTTATTGACACTTTGAACAGCTGCGCGGATGTTTTGATGGCAGATTGGTGACACGCAAGGAGCTCAGCTCAGGGATAAACAGGTCGTTATAAACTTAATTATTAACGATGACAGAGTATGCACGGGACCACAAGGTGAGTTCGCTATATCCGTCATTTCGTCATGAGCGTGTTCGTTATATCCATCAACTTTATATGATAAATTATATGGCAAATGGCCGGGTACAAAAGAATAGTTTGGTATATACCTCAGTTCATTATGAGCGTGTTCGTTATAAATGTAGTTAACTGTATTTCCAATTACCGTAATCGACGTAATTAGCGCCCTGCTCTAATAAGCCCCCACGGCGATGTTTGCTAATATATTGGCTGGTGAACAATCCCAATTAGCACCCCTTCCGATTGATCAATGTACACTTATTTATTCGTCTTTAATATGCGCTCGTGTGTTATAATGCACCCTTAATTATGGGCAATTAAATTCTGAAAAATATATCTGTCGTGTATGATACGCACAGACTTTTCTATTGTATCATTTCAGGCTATCAGCATAAGCCACGAAATTTACGATCTTTCAACTCTGTTTTTCTTCTCACCAAAATTATGTTCTAATAAGAGCCCCCTATTTCCAATTTTGAGAACGCCCTAGGCGCTTATTACGTCGAATACGGTACTATCTAAAGACATGATGGGATACTGAGATGACAAGTGATGTCAGGTAGTGAGTGAGTGAGTTGGGTTTAACGGCGCTTTTAACATTATTCCAGTCATATCACGGCGTGTCAGCTTAATGCTGGGAGGAAAGCCCAAAGTGATGCAGGTCTCAGACTTTTATCACTTAGGTGAAACCCAGCATGGGTACGGTGCTGACAAACCTAAAAACATAATTGGGGCGAACCGGGATTCGAACCCACAATCACAGGTTTCTGGCATGCCCAAGGGACTCTGCACAGCGAATCGTGTCATCCCGATGACAGGTAGTGCATGACAACATCTCTGACATCAAATGATTTAACAATTCTAAAAAAGCATCCTGAAAACAGACACTAATTAAACTTGTCAACACGAGATGTAAAACATAATTTTGAAATAAAACAGAAAATAATTATTCTAAAAACATCCCTTGCTCTGCATGCTAAGATTAAGATTGTCTTTCTTGCTAAATATGCCATGCATGTGTGTGTGTGTGTGTGATATGGTGATGCAGCACTATTCCTGCTAAACGACAGCCATATCTGTATACACATGTATGTATAACAGCAGTAAAATCCAACTTAAACCATGTATACTATGTATACCATATACATCACATTTGGGAGCTAAGGAATTAGTTCATGGAACTAATATGCATTCTCATAGCTATGAAATAGTTGTGTCTTTGATGCATGCGTTACAGGTAGGTGTAGGTAAAACTAGAAAGACAGATATCAGTGCACAATTAGTGCACAGTCTATTTTGACTGCAGTGTGTAAATGTGAGTGCAAAGTATGTACATTCATCATTAGCACACTAGAATAGCACCACAGCAGCATTGTTAGATTCAAACGTAATTTGAAAATGTCAATTTTGTCAAGCTTTGATTAAACCATTTAAAAAACAATTGTAAATGATGTCCAGGTAAGCACATGGTAAGTGTATGAAAAATAAATAAATACATGAAATACAAAATATATAATGAAAAGTTGTTTTTCTTGTTGTTTGTTTCAAAACATTCTTTTAATATTCCCTCAGAAAGCTAAGTGCGTTCAGTGCAGTCTGATTTCAAGTTGACAAATATAACCCATATTAAGTTATTCCTAACATAATATCGTAAGAACCCACAAGGTATGTTACCATGGTTACAAGCAGTTTAGTTGTACATAGTTCTTCAATCTCTCTGGAAGTGGGAGTTTATCAAGTTCATGAAGTTTCTGCAATGACGCCAAATGGTTCCGCACAGTCTGTTTTGCAAGATGCATCAACTTTGGTGGCTTTGTATGTTGGTACCTGGTCCAAAACTCAAAGATTTCTTCCAGCAAAGGAGTAAGTGACGGGTATCTTGTGAAAAGAGTTTCTTTCGGTGTGTTAATCTCGGCACCTGAGAGCATGAGTAAGCGTACAACGCCAGCATATAAAGAGAAAGTTTCTTGTCCAACAACTGAAAATTCCTGTGGTTCATGATTGGAGTCTGTACTAATTCTTTCCAAGTTCTGAATCTTTTCCGTTGAAACTAAATGCATTGTGTTGGTAAATTCATGCCCATGACCGCCCGACTCATCCTGAAATCCATTTGTTTCATCCAGCCTACACAGATAGAGGGCATGAAGTAGAGGGGATCCAAGACCATCTCGACAATTCATATTTGCATCTGCACCTGCTAAGAGCAAACTTTCTACAATAGACACTGAACAATGTTGAAACCGGAGTAATTTTTCCTTTTCCTTAAGCCACCGTTTTGCATTGTTGTCACTGTCCATGTCTCTCCTTGCTGAGTTTAAATACTTCAAATTATTTTCCATCGTTTTTAGTGAAAGGACTAACGAAGTATTACCATAGTGGTCACGAATATTCACATGTTTACTTGGGGAAAATTTCAACAGTTGTCGGACACACTCAGAATCCCCTCTCATTGTTGACATGTGGAGAGGCGTATACGAACTCCCCCCACATTGATAGCTGAGTTGTGATGTGGAACAGTGCCGTAGAATAATGTCCAGCACGACTGTATCTCCAAGTTCTGATGCGTACATCAGTGTGGATGTATATCGAACATCATTGATGTTGACATCACACCCACTGTCACAAAGTAACTGAATTAGCCTGCGTCCACTTTCTAGAGATATGGACTCGCACTTCATCCCCTCCAGAACAGAATGAATTAATCTTCCTTGAGATGTTGGTAGGTTTGGACTGCAGCCATTATCAAGAAAAACTTCGACAATGTCCGTAAACCCCAGTTTACAAGCCAATTCTACTGGATTGTTCTTTTTCTTTTCGTGTATGTCAAACGGTGCGGGCTGGAACGCACGTGTCAAGATTAATCGTTGTAAAAGTTCTTTATCTCTCCGAGAAACCGCATCCTCTAAAGTTATTTCCCCACTGGGTTCCTCCAGAGACGAGTACGGCACTTTGCTAGATCCTCCTCCGCGTTGTTTGGCTGGGGTGATGATAGTGCTCGTCTGCGACTGAAGCAGGACCTCTCGACTGCGACTCTTTCGACTGAACATGGATGTTTCTTTTTGGTCTCCGGACTTTGAAAATAAGACTTGAACGTGTGAGAAAATACACCCCATGACACCGGAGCGTTATCTGATTAGAAATCGTATCATCATCTACATAAATGCAGTGACGCAGTCATGGTGAGTAAGCCATGATGATCAAATAATATCCCAAAATCGTTTTGACACAATCTCAATATTCCGTCAGGGACGGTTTCCGGAAGTTGAGGTCAGTCAAGCAGAGCGTGTCGAAGAAGTATAGCGTTAGATACCCTTTACAGATTTAAAGTGTAAGAGATCAACATAACATACTGTAACTAAAATCATATAAAATTCATACTATTATATGTTATATTCGTGTTCTGGTGCGATATCTTTCCTGAAATGAGGTTTCGAATGTATATAGACTTGTACCCTGTCCTGTAGTGCGTCAATGAGCGCAAGCGTTCTACGACAGGCAAACCAGTCGAGATTGTATAATATTTTCCGTACACCCTTTTACATACAGTTATATATTTGACGCAGAACCTCTGTTGGAAATTGTAACTCGAGATAATACACTCACTACGAAGATTAGGTGGAAGTGATCTGAGTTTAAACAAAGTTGACAGAAATATTAAAAATGATTAATCCCGCTCTTGTGGATAGATGCAGTTCATAATTCATTGGTATCTCCAAATTATTACATTCTTGGAAATAATATGCCTTATAATACAAGTGGGTGCGATCTTAAACCTCTGTCATATGGAAATTGGAAATGTTGAACAATCGGTAAATTAACACTTAGAAATTATTCAGTCTATACATCATTTCATCTCGGAGTCTGGCAGATGTTATTAATCAACTGTGATTATCTCACAATTTAAAGACCTCATTGGTTGCTCTTATTATTGAATAAGTATCTGGATGTCAGCTGATAAATGTCTGCCCTAAAATCATTTTAGTAAACTGTTATATCATGCAATATATTTTATCATTGCGGCATTAAGTCGGTCTATTTCGATATTTCAAGACAAATTTTTAAACCAAGATTGGACACATGGAGTGGCAAGTTGTCAGGCGCGCAGGAATACACGGTGCTGATGACTAGTCCGCTTTATGCAACCGGGCCTTGGAGGTGACTCCTCATTCTGCCTACACCCATCCTGCCTACGGTAGCACTCGTTCTGCCTACAGAAGCACTCGTTCTGCCTACAGAAGCACCCATTCTGCCTACAGTAGCACTCATTCTACCTACAGCTCATTCTGCCTACATCTATTCTGCCTACAGTAGCACTCATTCTGCCTACACCCATTCTGCCCACAGTAGCACTCATTCTGCCTACAGCTCATTCTGCCTACAGTAGCACTCATTCTGCCTCCATCTCATTCTGCCTCCACCAATTCTGCTTACAGCAGCACTCATTCTACCTACATCTGCCTACCTACATTCTGCCTACATCTATTCTGCCTACAGTAGCACTCATTCTGCCTACACCCATCCTGCCTACGGTAACACTCGTTCTGCCTACAGAAGCACCCATTCTGCTTACAATGGCACCCATTCTGGCTACAGCTCATTCTGCCTACACCCATTCTGCTTACAGCAGCACTCATTCTACCTACAGCTCATTCTGCCTACATCTATTCTGCCTACAGTAGCACTCATTCTGCCTACACCCATTCTGCCTACAGTAGCACTCATTCTGCCTACAGCTCATTCTGCCTACACCCATTCTGCCTACAGAAGCACCCATTCTGCCTACAATAACACTCATTCTGCCTACAGTAACACTCATTCTGCCTACAGCTCATTTTGCCTACAGTGGCACCCATTCTGCCTACATCCATTCTGCCTACAGTAGCACTCATTCTGCCTACATCCATTCTGCCCACAGTTGCACCCATTCTGGCTACACCCATTCTGCTTACAGTAGCACTCATTCTGGCTACATCCATTCTGCATACAGTAACACTCATTCTGCCTACAGTAGCACTCATTCTGCCTACATCCATTCTGCATACAGTAGCACTCATTCTGACTACACCCATTCTGCTTACAGTAGCACTCATTCTGGCTACATCCATTCTGCATACAGTAGCACTCATTGTGCCTACATCCATTCTGCCCACAGTTGCACCCATTCTGGCTACACCCATTCTGCTTACAGTAGCACTCATTCTGGCTACATCCATTCTGCCTACAGTAACACTCATTCTGCCTACAGTAGCACTCATTCTGCCTACATCCATTCTGTCCACTGTAGCACTCATTCTGCCTACACCCATTCTGCCTACAGTAGCACTCATTCTGGCTATAGCTCATTCTGAATACACCCATTCCGCCTACAGTAGCACTCATTCTGCCTACATCCATTCTGCCTACAGTAGCATTCATTCTGCCTACAGTAGCACTCATTCTGCCTGCAGCTCATCCCGCCTACACAAATTCTGCCTACAGTAGCACTCATTCTGCCTACATCCATTCTGCCTACAGTAGCACTCACTCATTCCGCCTACAGTATCACTCATTCTGCCTACATCCATTCTGCCTACAGTAGCACTCATTCTGCATACACTCATTCTGCCTACATCCATTCTGCCTACAGTAACACTCATTCTGCCTACAGCTCATTCTGAATACACCCATTCTGCCTACAGTAGCACCCATTTTGCCTACAGTATCACTCATTCTGCCTACAGCTCATTCTGCCTACATCCATCCTGCTTACAGTAGCACTCATTCTGCCTACAGCTCATTCTGCCTACACCCATTCTGCCGACAGTAGCACTCATTCTGCCTACAGCTCATTCTGCCTACACCCATTCTGCCGACAGTAGCACTCATTCTGCCTACATCTCATTCTGAATACACCCATTCTGCCTACAGTAGCACTCATACTGTTTACAGCACTCATTCTGCCTACCACCATTTTGCCTACAGTAGCATTCATTCGGCCTACGGCTCATTCTGCCTACATCCATCCTGCTTACAATAGCACTCATTCTGCCTACAGCTCATTCTGAATACACCAATTCTGCCCACAGTAGCACTCATTCTGCCTACAGCTCATTCTGCCTACACTTAGGTTAGCTGACCAACCTTTTAATTAATCCTTTATTTTGTTAACGTATTGACTACAGATGTTGTTGATGTCACATAATCGGTAAACTCAGTTACCCTCGGCAGATGATCTTGGCGTTCCTCTAACATTTCGCGACATTCATCATGCATCATGTCAAGGGTAAAAAAAGGCAAACATGCTTTCGTCCCACAAGAGTCTTAAATTCTTCGTCGGTACGGTAGAGACCTGTAAGACCTCAGAATGCTTTGACTGAAGACATCATCGGGGATCGCTGCCTGGAAAACATCTTCAATTCCTCGGATTGTCGCAGTTTCAAGGTCTGTCTGGACTCAGAGACAAGCCTGTCTTCTTCTCATCAACTTCACTCAGCTCGCGGAACATGTGTCTGTCATGCATGAGAGTGAGTGAGTTGTGTTTAACGCCGCCTTTAACAGTATTCCAGTTATATCACGGCGTGTCAGCTTAATGTGGGAGGAAAGCCCGAAGTGATGCAGGTCTCAGACGTTTACCACTTCGATGAAACCCACGAGCACGGGGATGGTGCTGACAAACCTAGAAACATAATCAGGGCGAACCGGGATTCGAACCCACAATCATAGGTTTCTGGCGTGCCCAAGGGACGCAACTCTGCACAGCGAATCGCGGCGCCCTAGACGACTGGACGACCCATGCCCCCGTTATGCATAAGAGCGCAATGCAAAGGAAACATTTTAGAACAAGCAATGTATACCATGTAACTGGCTTCAAAGACTAGGGACCCGTGAAGATTCCGGGGTAGAAAAGGTCTTCAGCAACCCATGCTTGCCGTAAAAGGCGACTAACGGGATCGGGTGGTCAGGCTCGCTGACTTGGTTGATACATGTCATCGATCCCAATTGCGTGGATCGATGCTCATGATATCAGTCACTGGATTGTCTGGTCCAGGCTCGATTATTTACAGACCGCCGTCATATAGCTGGAATATTGCTGAGTGCGGCATTAAACAACAAACCAACCAACCAACCAATCAAAGACTAGGACATGCATAACATGTATCATCCATAGATTATGTGTCTGCTGCTTGCAATCATGTTCAGCATCTCATCTGAGTCAAAAGCTGTCTCAGCACCATCATCTATGACAAGGAAGTGAGTGTTGTTCTTCGGTGCTGTCACTGTCTTGGAGGTCTACTTCAGCCAGCGTTGTGGGTAATGTTGGTTAGTTCTTTCGTCTGTATCTAGAGGCCGGCATCAATACTTGTGAAGGAAGGGGCAATAGCATCAATTTCCCCTTTGTAAATCGCATGAATGTGAGTAACTTCATCTCTGGCTCGTGTTCTGAGGGTAATCACGACGAAGGACCGCTGTGTCTTCTACCTAGGGACGACTGTGAGTTGATGCCGACTTGAGATAGTCCCCCGCGCTCAAGCGTCCCTTACAAGCAGGAAATACACACTTCAACGTGTATCACTCTGACGCTGTACCTGCAGTCGGCATCGAAAACCATCTTAAACTGCCTGTTAGCCACCAACCTGTGATGTTATACATTCAACGTTCTGAAGGCCAGGCATTTTGCATGCAGACTGGTGGCACGTGGTCCTGTGCACAGCGCACAGATCACAAATCAGGTGAAGTTAAGCAACGTCGGTCTCGGAGAGTAGTTGGATGGGTGACCACGTTCAGCAGCTTGACTCCTGAGAGTTTCTAGGGCTTCGGTCCTGTCCCACACTGAAGCACATGTACCACATGAGGTGTCTCCTTAGGCAAGTGACTTTGTTCGAAATGTGCCTCTGTTCACCCAGCAGCTTGGGTTGTATACTCCCCAGGGAGCTGAGAATGAAAATTGAGTGCTCACTGATCCATTGACCGGGGTAATAATAGTGTAGCGCTATGAGCATCCACTTGGTGAATGGAATCTGGCGCATTATAAATGCACTTGTTATTATTGTTATTAAATGATATGTCACTTCTAGATTTCTACTTATATAGTGTGAGCTGTTATTTCAGGGCCTGGGTTGTGCAGTCAGTAGAAGCCAAGTCTCGCTGCATGTTATGGTACAAGATAGGTTGCTATGTATTCACATTTCTTTATATACTGGTCTTTCTAATTTGTGTTAAACCCGAAATCCGAGTTAAGAGGTCTTCAGCAACCCATTCTTGCAGTAAACGGCGACAATGCTTGTCGTAAGAAGCGACTAACGGGATCGGGTAATCAGGCTTGATGACGTGGTTGATGCAAGTCATCGTATCCCAATTGTGTGAATTGCAACTCATGATATCCATCACTGGATTATCTGGTGCAGACTCGATTATTTACAGACCGCAGTCATATAGCTGGAATATTGCTGAGTGCGGCGTTAAAGAACAAAAACAAACTAATTTGTGTTAAGAGGCATAGTCTATTATGGGAAAGGGAAAACAGGTATTCAGTAAGCATTCAGTCACATAGAACTTATCCCTATCCCCTGATACGTATCATGTATTATAAACTGTAGGCAGAATGGGAGGTAACCGCCGTGGATCATGTTGTTTTGTTTGAGTAAACAGATGAATTAGTTCACAGATTATGCGTTTACTTGATAACACCTACCTCGAGTGAAATCCGTGAACATGTTTCAACGACGGATCATTCAGGTTATCGTTTTTATATTTCTATCTTTGATCATGAAAAAAGGTTATGAAAACAGAAAAAAAATTCGAAGGTTTGTGAAATGTTTGTTATAAACAGACGCAGGTCCTTTGATGGAATTTCCGTGACGTATCGAAAACAAATATCCCAGGAAGTCAATACATGTATCAACATCTCAACATTCTCACACCAATACATGCGTCACCATCTCAACATCCTAACACCAATACACGCGTCACCATCTCAGCATTCTAACACCAATACACGCGTCACCATCTCAGCATTCTAACACCAATACATGCGTCACCATCTCAAAATTCATGAATATGTTAGATCAACAGAGCTCCGGGAAGCAGAAATATATCTGATATTAGTTTTTACGAAGGTAGCCTTCTCAGATACGAAACTGCGCAAGGAGGCAGAGCTAACACATGACCAGATCCGCGGGAACGTCAAAAAAAGAAAACATCTGCCAAAACAGCGTTCTCTAACATGAATTTAAGCACTTCGGAGACAAATAACGACGTAGCCTCAGACAATGTATCACGAAACCCAATGTCAGAGTCAGTGGACGACCCGACATTAGTGTTTCAGTGCGAAAATTGTAGAAGTATTCTTGGTGACTCCACGGCGTGGGTGTGTTCGGATGAAACTTTGAAAACCATCACGCTTCAGCGTTAGTAACTTGAAGTTATTTAGACATCACAACGTCAGGTGTCCACTGTGAGACTAGTGTTTCAGTATTGAGTTATATAGGACACCCGACAATATACCGGATTCACTCGGCACTAACGCTGATTGTCATGTCTCCCCTGTGTTGACACATGGTCTGTCGTAATGCATTCCGGTCATTCCATGTGATTTTCACATCCTTTATGATATCCTCAGGGTTGGGGCCCTGGTCCATCCTGCTCATTTGCTTGGACGCTGCAATCACAAATATCCCAGCTATATTAAGGTGACCTGTAAATAAAAAAACAAACTAGTGGTTGACATTAATATAAACAACATTTCATACGCTGTCTACAGTTAACCAATTTATGGAGCCTGTCCATCAAAAATAATATAGTAGAGTGCTGGGGACCTATTCTGACCTTTTGTATATGACTGACTCTCACTGACATTTAGGGGTGAAACGATACATTGGTGCATTGTAAGTCTTTTTATGAGACAATAGGATGCATGATACATTTTTTTCTGTATCAATACAAGATGATAGACTTGCATCAACAAAGTCATGAGTCTGACCACTCGATCCAGTTAGTCGCCTTTTACAGATTGGGTGGTCAGGCACGCTTGCGTGGTTGATTTATGTCATCGTATCCCAACTGTGATGATCAATGCGCATGATGTCTGGTCCAGACACGATTGTTTACAGATTGCCTTTGTATAGCTGGACTATTGCTGCATATGTCTTTAAACAACAAACACTGGATACTCAAATTGCAACAAGTAACAATTTCATATCACACCAATGTTTCTGGACACAATCGTGTTGCCAATTATGCAAAATTAACTATTTGTGAATATAATCAAAGAGATATAAGATGTACATTGCATAGGTTGTAGACATGATCAGGAAGCCAGAAAGAGGTCTGCAATGGAACAAATTTGTTAATAGCGTCTTTCCATTTCCTAGGCCAGGTGTTCATGATACCTTGCAAACAGGTTATGTTAATTACACATGGTTTTTATGTAGGAAGAGAAGTGTGAGGTGTGCAAACTTCATTTCTTTATGCAGGTAATAGCTTGCAACAACAAAATAAATGCGTACCTCTGCTGAAAAAGAAAATTATATGGTTTCAATTACCAGACCAACCCAAATATATGGCGAACTTTACTGTTTGCCCAAGAAAGCAGTGTTAAAACAAGTATGATTTTTTAATGTGAAGTAAACACAATATCCAGATTTTTAATCAGATGAGAAGTCGGTCACATGACAGAGGAACAGAAGTTCATTAAATGCATTCTGATGCACTGTCATTGTGACATTGTGACTGTGGTTGTTCTTAACTGACCTTTCTCGTCTAATGATGATATGATTCGTATATATTGCAAACAAACTACAAAAGATTTCACTGTAGAACAATGTGAGCATGCATACGCTTATGTGACAACAGAGGGAACTGCTTCATTCCGTGATGCAGCTGGTTGTTGTCTGGCTGTCAGTGTAAACATAAAGTCAGACATAATAAATAAAATTGTGTATAGATCTACATCCTTCGAGGTAAAAAATACTGATGTACAAAATTATCAGAATTAACTTTCTCTTTGTATGAGTTCATTGGATTATGAGCCGTGGTAGAATAGGTCTTCAGCAACCCATTCTTGCCGTAACAATGCGACAATGCTTGTCGTAAGAGACGGCTAACAGGATCAGGTAGTCAGACGCACTGACTTTGTTGAAGCTTGTCATCGATCCCAATTGTGTGGACTGATGTTTGTTATATCAATCACTGGATTGTCTGGTCCAGACTCGATTATTTACAGACCGCCGTCATATAGCTGGAATATTGTGGAGTGTTGTATAAAACCACAAACCTACCAACCAACCAATCATCGCAAGTTCCGACGTTCATACAGTTTGGTCCTCACTCTATGTACGTTCATACTCCAATGAATTCAAATAAGTGAAAGTCATTTCTTAAATAACTCTTTCCCACCTCTTCTCTTTCATAGATCAGTTGTGGTATCACAGGGTTCATACAGGCATGAAAAGGCCTTGAATTTTAGGGTCCCTCTAGAAAAGCCTTGATTTTTAGTGTCAATCCTGAAAAAACTTGAAAATCACCAACAATGCTTGAAAGCCTTGAATTTCCACAAAATGACATGTACTTGTTGATTAAAGCACTAAAGAACCCACAGCCTTGAAAATGTGTTTCTTACGAGTATGAACCTTGTATCGATACGATCTATAACATGGTTACTAGTATGTTACCCATGTAGAGGCTGTTCCGAGCACATTCACCACATCTCTGCACTTTTCAGAGTTTGGCTGTTGGAAATTATGTTTGTTTCATTTCCACACAAAAACATGAACCAATCACATTTGTTATATTAACTATCATTAACGGCTAGTGTCAACCGACTTTTATGGCTGTAATATTCTCATCGGTTAAAGCGACATTCATTCTTTCACTTACCGTGATATCAGGGCTATTGATAAGCTTTTGGTTATTTGGGTATTTCGCCCAGGGATTTAATTTTGATTGGATATTCACGAGTTTTTGAGGATATTCAAACAAACTATACCCTACTTTCTTGACGTTTGGGTATTTAACTTAAAACCTGTTTCACTACATTCCCTGTAAATCATTTGAAGCTATGTGAAGAGTAGAATACCCATCTGCGTCTGCTTGCATCTCCCTCTCCGGGAAGATATTTTTTGTTTGCAAAATCTAGCATTGTAAGAAAGACGCTATTTTATTTAACAATCGGTGACTAATTAAGATACATGTATATTGACTAGGAACAATGAGCTTTTCAGTTGCTATCTATCAGTATGTGTGTCGGTAAGGGAATTTGGCAATCGGCTGATACACAATCGTTTTATCTTACGGTTGTAATATATACAATTGTTTTATCTAATAGTTATGATATAAGTATTAATTTTATTTCAGCAGTAGTAGTAGACACAATTTATGGATAAGCGTATTCATAGTTTTTGTTGCGTATTTGATACGCTAGGATGTGATTTGTCGGCATGTTCCTGTTGATTACTGCGTATTTTATGCAAATACACATCTGATCTCGAGATCTGGATATTACTTCCAACTTCCCACTCTCTACTTTCAGAGGTCACGGACAAAGTCAAAGTTCTCGACAAGTTGAAGTCCTCCCCGAACTGTGGAAGGTATGCAGAATTACATTTAAAATAAGGATGTGAAAATAAATTAACAGAAATATAGCTATACACTGAGGCAAGGGCGTTAACTGACTATAAGTCAGTTTCAATCCAGTTTCAGTCCTGCCGAACTAGGCTGGAATTTCCTGGGGGTTGTACGGGTGGCCTAGTCGTCTAAGGCACCGCAATTCGCTGTGCAGAGTTGCATCCCTTGCGCACGCCAGAAACCTATGATAGTGGGTTTGAATCCCAGTTCGCCCCGATTATGTTTCTAGGTTTGTCAGCACCATATCCATGCTCATGGGTTTCACTGAAGTGGTAAACTTCTGAGACCTGCGTCACTTCGGGCTTTCCTCCCACATTAAGCTGTCACGCCGTGACATAACTGCAATACTGTTAAAAAAGGCGTTAATCCCAACTCACTCACTCACTTTCCTGGCTCAATCGTAGCATGAGCAGTGGCTATTACGAGTTATGTCCCTTCTATGTCCCTCCTATTGACCATAAAGACCCTGGATCAGGTAGTCAGACTCCCTGACTTGGTTGATGCATTTCATCGTATCCCAATTGCGTGGGTCGATGCTCATGATTTCAATCACTGGATTTCTGGTCCAAACTCAATTATTTACAGACCACCGTCATATAGCTGGAATATTGCAGAGTGCGGCGTTAGACAACGAACAAGTGGACTAAAAATGTTTCTTTTGATGCTTTTTCACCCTTTTTTATGCTTGTAGAGTACCCAACTTTTAATTGTTATTTTAATTTCTTAAAACTATAGCTACAATAAACTCCTTATCATAGATGTAGAATGTATGATTAATTTGTTGTTAATTAGTCAAATCCGTGGGGTTCGGGTGGCTCTGTTTGATGTAGAGTTTGGTCCCTCAGGCATTCCAGAAAGCTATGATGGGTTCAAATCCTTTTTTGCAATGATTTTTTCTAGGTTTGTCAGCACCATAACTGTAGCAGTAGTAAACATCTGAGACCTGCATCACTTTCCTCCCACATTGAGCTGATACTGTGTTATAACTGAAACACTGTTCACCAAGTCACTATTGAAGTTATTGTTGAACATTTCCTGTTTGTATTGTCGTCTACAGTGTTGATGTTGGAGTGTTGTTCCTGTTGCAGTGCGTTTGTCCCGCTGTACTGTCGAGGGTGTAACGAGGGGATAGGGATGATGTACAAGACGACTGCCAGGAACCGCGATGCCATGAGGGACCGGTACAGCCTCTTCGTCTCCAAGATGTCCAGGTGTGTGCAGCGGTTGTACACCGATCTTGTGTTGTAATCATTGTAGCACTATAACCACTATGCCAAACACATCTAAATCTATGCTAGTCTCAAAGATATACAGGTATGTCACTGCTAGTTTCAAAAATACTGCTCAACATATGCTAAGGTTCACACCTTTGACTAAAGATGACTATTTTGGTCCTTAGCAAATGTTGAACAGTGTATGTCCAGGTACAGTAAAGTACGGTTATAACGAACACGCTTATAACTAGGGCTGGGACGATTCACCGATACATCGATGTATCACGATACATTACAGTTCGATACGACTATCGATTCGTGGGTCTATGTATCGATACAAAACGATACACAGCTGATATACTACGAGTAACAAAACGTATTTGCCGCTGTTTACATCGTCCGTTTTGTTCCAACGCAGTCAGTAAAGAAAATCAAGCGATGATACAAGGACAAATATGATTGGTTGATTTTCGTAGTACGACCAATCAAATGACTCGTATTAGTTTCAGCCTTCAAACATGGCGACTGGCTTTCCGGCCAAGAAGCATCGAGTCCCCAGACACCGTAGGCCGGCATTCGTCACCACTCGCCCCTTTCCGTAACCTGCATTCGGCTCGTCCCGGAATAACACGAGTTGGTCACGAATGCGTAGGCCGGTAAACCGGCCAAGTCGTAGTCATGTCAAAATAGTATATATTTTTTAACTTATCCTGCATTACTCCGTATTGCATTTACTGCTATGTTTGACAGAGAGACGAACTGTGTGAGATCCAGCTGCTGAAGAAAGTTGTCCCAACCAGCCCAGGAGGCAGCGCCCTCTCACAGTCGGCACGTGACCCGGAAGTCATGACGTCACACCAAAAGACATAACTGCTTTGTCACCTCCACGGACGGACGTACTTTGTATCCCTTGTGGAAATTAAAGCTTATTATTTGTTTTTTATATTTTGCGTGTTTCTACATTCATTATATGCTGCTACATTGTTACCTGTTATGGGCCGTGACCTTAGGGTCTTCCCATTCGTAAATTGTAACGTTTATCGCTCGTCTGTGGCTCACGTCACAGTAATTTACGGGCGCAATGTTGTTCCCACCATTTTGTTTTCTTTCCCGCCATTTTGGCCATTCACCACGTGGCCACGTAATGTCGTGTTCTGCGTTTTGAATTCTCTCTTTGGCTTGGGTAATACATTACATTTATGTATGTTGTTTTGGTGTGCTTAAAGCCTTGCCTTTTCGCTACCTCTCAGCGTAATTGTTTCTTCTCATAAACTTCAATATAATACGAAGTTTATGAGTTACATTATGTCTCCCGTACTCTGTGGTTTTGCCACATGGTTACGTGTTTGCTTAAGGCTTTGCCTTTTCGCTCCCTTTTAGCGTACTTGTTTATCTCATAAACTTTAATAAAATATACTGTTTTTGAGTTACTTTATGCTTCCCATACTTTGTGATTGGCCACACATTATGCTTCCCGCACTTTGTGGCTTTGCCACATAGTTATGTTTTGCTTAAATTCCAGATTTTCTGCCTCGCTGCACTTGTTGCCGCGGGAACAAATCTGGCCGGGGCCGCCCCTTTCTGCCGTGATTGTACGACGCCCTGTACTTTCACAAGGCAGTGCCGATGTTGCAGTCATTCGTCGCTGTGATCCTTCAGCTCATGCGAGTATCCAGGACACACCTCGCTCAACGTGCTCGTCGACCCCCACCTACGTTGACGGCAGCAGCGCTCAGCGGAGCTTCACGGCGGCTCCCAACGTAGAGTCTGCCTCCCATGGCACGACATACGACCGTTCACGGTCTCCTACTCCACTGGCGGCTCCAGCGCTCCCAACGTAGAGTCTGCCTCCCATGGCACGACATACGACCGTTCACGGTCTCCTACTCCACCGGCGGCTCCAGCGCTCCCAACGTAGAGTCTGCCTCCCCTGGCACGACATACGACCGTTCACGGTCTCCAACACCGTCAACACTGATGTCTCCGGCGCCCCCGGCGCCTCTGATGACACGGCGCTCCCGGCGCCTCCGGCGCCTCTGATGACACGGCGCCTCCGGCGCTTCTGATGACGCGGCGCCTCTGATGACACGGCGCTCCCGGCGCCTCTGATGACGCGGCGCCTCTGATGACACGGCGCCTCCGGCGCTTCTGATGACACGGTGCCTCCGATGTCTCGGCGCCTCTGATGACACGGCGCCTCCGATGTCTCGGCACCTCTGATGACACGGTGCCTCTGATGTCTCAGCGCCTCTGATGACTCGGCGCCTCTGATGACTCGGCGCCTCTGATGACTCGGCGCCTCTGATGACTCGGCGCCTCTGATGACTCGGTGCCTCCGGCGCTTCCGATGACTCGGCGCCGCTGATGTCTCGGCGCTCAACAAGCTTCATGACTTGTTCATGACAAGCTGATGACTCGGCGCTCCCGGCGCCTCCGATGACTCGGCGCCGCTGATGTCTCGGCGCCTCTGATGTCTCCGCGCTCCGGCGCCTCCGCATCCTCTGATGTCTTCGGCCCTCAACAAGCTTCAGAACAACAAGCTTTATCAAGCTCAGATCAACGAGCCGACCATCCGATCTTCTACTGCGGCTTAAGGGGCACCATCGGCAATCGCCTCCCCGGCGCCACTGCCCTCTTCTCTTGCTGCCGTCTCATAACTCGTCACACGGAGAAGCATGGTGAAACAACTGTCGCCGCTCCTGTCGCTACTCTCCCGTCGGTCTTCGGGATCGTGACTCGTAGTACTTCCTGGGTGGAATCATTTCAACCAATAGACAGTTGGTCTGATTCAGCTTGCCCACTGAGACGTTATCCATAATCCCGTCGTTTAAAGCGCTATGATTCCGGAGAGATGACCTGCGGGTTTCCATCGAAACAGAGCGCCATGTGAACAGCGTCTGTATCAGATTCGATGACGACATCCACTTACAAAGAGTTTACTTCGTCGACATCGCAGACATCAACGCTGTTCTACCCTACCCTAGCGCCAGCGTTCCTGAGAGAGACTCTTCCTCGGCGCTCCCCGGGTTTTACACGACGCCCATGGGGTTCCGTGTTTTATCGCAAAACTCGGGTACACCACTTGATCGTCTCTCACACAGTTCATTGAGGATTGTCTGTGTGTGGAGTTTGCACCTCAGTTCCGACTCCAAGGCGGTTTTCTCGGCTACTGCGCAGAGTGATTTACATGTCACGTGTCAAGTACTCGGATTGTCAACAACTCCGACCGGATTTAGGTCAACTTACCATGGCAAGGGGTGCCATGTATTTCTACAGATTGGTTTCCATGTCTACCTGTACGCTTGGTGATACCACTCAACCAGGCGCCTGTCGCAGTCCATCCATGCACGGATGTTGGAAACAATAGACCTCCTCTACCAACACGGCTGTCACGAGGAACCTTGTTTCATCAACCCTTCGCTATAAGAACGATAGCGCCTATAGGCGTTCAAGGGATGGAAAAGATCGCCTTCCTTCGTCCGGTTTGATCTTTTCGACTACGACAGGTAGTCCTATCTTCCGCCTTGACTACCGGACACAGTGTCGATTTGATACTTAAAGTCCCTCGGCCGTCCCACTGACCCCTGTTGCATACCTGCCTCGTATCGTGTTGTCGTCCTCCATCGTCACCTCGATATAAGAACAGGAGTACTTATACGCCGCTTCAGGGATGAAAACGATCTCATTACTTCGTGCAATGGCCATATTGCCTCGACTTCCTACTACCCGGTTACGTCGATGCCCCGGCGGTCGATTGTGAAGCTGGTTTACTTCGTCTACTTGAGGTTGGCTCGCAGGCGATCACACCTTTTTTCCGAATCGTACCGACGGTACGCAATCGCAGACCCCTGTTGCTGACTACCTCCCCTGCCACCTTGTCAGTGGCTAGTGGCCCACGCCAGCCCACATTGTGACCACCTGTGATCCAGAGATCAACACCATTGGCACAGCAACAGCCTCGAGATAAATGCTTATCCAGGACGGCACTTGCTGACAGTGCATTCTCGGTCACGCCCTGTTGATCGTGTCCACTGACGACGTCACCGTAGTGTGGTGTTTGCGGACCCAGAGTTCTCGCCCCTCTCCCGGCGCCACAAACTCGACCGGCGCCCCCGAGAATCACCATCTTCGGCGTTCCAGGCGCCTCAAGCTCTCCGACGCCTCACGCTCTCCGGCGCCTCGGGCCAGACTATGTGAAACGGTCGACACCCCAACCCTAGATCTGTTTGCCTCATATCTGAATGTGGCCAGCTGTCGTCTTCCATTCCACCTGTGCCGGATACGACTGCTGTGGCAGTCGAAGCCTTCCATCGTTCCTGAGAAGGATTACGCGCGTACGCTTTTCCGACTCCGGTTCTCCCTCCCACGGTTCTTCAGAGATCCAGGCCACTCGACCCCTGCCATTGACTTTGGTCTCGCCTTATTGGTCAGCCAGAAGTTGGGTTATCGACCTCCGAAACATAGCCAGAGACAACCCCTGGAACTTCCGGTGTGGTCCAACCTTCTGCTCCATCCACACGGTCTGTTGCCACACCCTCATACCCGCATGTTATCGTCTGCACGCCTGACACACATGCAGAAAGCCAAGGGCTATTCGGCTAGAGCGACCAAGGCTATTGCTTCAGCCCACCGTCCATCTACAGGGGGACTGTATGCTGATAACTGATGCTTGTTCCAGGCATTTTGTTCTGACAAACACCAGGATCCGATGACAGCGTCACCGCAGATCCTGGATCAGTTCCTTCTGTACTTGTGTAGCACCCATCGGTTGAAGGGCTTACCACCCCCACATACCTGGTCGCCATCTACTCCGTTCTGGCCATCCCGGACGATCGGAGAAAGACGAAAATTCCCGACCTACAGGCCTGGCTGCGCTCGTTCAGTCTTGAAGACCTGAAGACCAAGTTCGGACCGCCTGCGTTGGATCTGAATGTGGTCTTCAATACCCTTCGAACCACTCCCCTCGTCTTCCTTCTTCGACCTTAAGTAGAAGACGGGTGTTTCTACTGGTTTTGACTACTGCCGCTCGAGTCCATGTACAGCACGCCCTCGACGCCTCCCATGCCCGGTTCGAATGCGGTACCCAGGGCGCCGTTCATCATGGACCGTACTGGGACGTCAGCGTAAAGACTCAACTCCCAGGACAGCCTGATAGATCATTCCTTGTCCCCTCCCCCCTCGTCCAGTGTGGGTGCCGAGGATGAGGATGAGCGTCATTATGCCCAGTAAGGGCACTGAAGGTTATTCTACGATCTAAAGACTGCCGCAAGTCTAGGAAACACCTTTTTCTGCCGGTCTCCCCTTCGTCGCTGTCGTTGGTCAGCCGGAATACTTTTCCCTGTGGCTCCGGGCGGTCATCCTTAAAGCGTATGAGCCGCCGGATTGGACCCTCCCCCCAAAGGCTATTACCTGAAATAAAATGAGATCAGGGCGATCGTATTTACACTGGTTCTTCACGGTATACTGTTCCATCCCGTCGTTCAGGGAAGCCTGCTCGTGGCGATCGGACACCGCCTTCACCAACCACTACTTCCGTGATGTAGCCTTGAAAGTTGTCGCCGGCGTTCACAGTTTTGGTCCCTGGTTGTAGCCCAACAGGTCATCTATCTCCGACGCCACTGATTCTCCGATACCCTGAGCGGGGCCCGTTGACCTTTCTGGTGTTTATCACCCCAGACGAGACGGCTCTCTTGCGTTCCGCATTCGCTCTTAGGTCAGTTTTAGTTTTGGGTTACCCGACTCATTCTATTGCTGTCACCTATCCGGGTTTTACTTTTTGCATCAACTCTCGTTTCCTGACGACAGGAATGGTAGTAGATGTGGTCACCGGCGCCGACGCCAACGCCGCTGCTTCTCTACAGGTACCTGAGCGGTGCCCGTCGACCTCACCGGTGTTCCTTGCCTCCAGCCTAGAGGGCTCTCCTGCGTTTCGCATTCGCATATGGGATTGGTCGTAGATTTTGCCGCCGACGCCGCTGATTCTTCGATTCCCCGAGCGGGGCCCGTCGAACTCTCTGGTGTTTATCACCTCAGATTAGCTCTAGGTTCTACTGCGTTTCGCTTTCGCTCTTCGGTAAGTTATATATTTTGGCTACACGCCTCATTGTATTTCGGTTACCTATTCGGGCGTTTCGTTTTTGCATCGACTCTTGTTTCCTGAAGACAGGAATGGTCGTAGATGTTCCGGTCATCACTTGTATGCGGTGCGGATTCATCGGACCTTGACGAGGGTTTAATATGGTTCACATCTGCAAGTATGCCCACCGGCCAAGCCGTCTGATAAAGATGCAATACGGAGTAATGCAGGATAAGTTAAAAAATTTAGTAAAATCTAAATATTTTTTACATTTGTATACTTATCCTGCATTACGAAGTCTAAGTGCCCTCCCTTTCGCTACGCTACCTCCCCACGAAGTTTCAGATGTTATGTTTAAAGCAGTTATGTCTTTTGGTGTGACGTCATGACTTCCGGGTCACGTGCCGACTGTGAGAGGGCGCTGCCTCCTGGGCTGGTTGGGACAACTTTCTTCAGCAGCTGGATCTCACACAGTTCGTCTCTCTGTCAAACATAGCAGTAAATGCAATACGGAGTAATGCAGGATAAGTATACAAATGTAAAAAATATTTAGATTTTACTAAATTTTTATGGACCTACCTGTAATATCATTCATTTATTAAATCTATCACATTTCATAATGTCTGAAATACATATTCCAATTCAATTTATCATTTTTTATCGATAAATTAAAAAAATATTCACTAATATTCCCGCGATGTTATTGAAATACGGGTCCACATCGAACATGTCAAAGAGCAAAATAAAGACGTTTTAAACAAATCTTTAAATATATTATACAAAGTAATAAATGATATCAACAAAAATATATTACATCTAAGTTATTATTTCCATCTTCTCGTGCTATCGCGTGTAATGTAAGTCAAATGACATCTCGGCTTTCGTCGCCTTGAATTCTCGGCTCGGACACAATGTTTGATGCAAAAATATATGCATGAAAAATCTTTGTCACAGCTCGTAACCTAGCACGATACGTTCACGAAGTTCCATATTTTTAATATATATCGTGATTTCCTGCTTAAAACGTTCAGAATAGCACGAGTTAACAAAACATCTTTCGCCAACTTCTGAAATCAAACTGGAGCTTGGTATCACAGCTGTAATTTGATTGGCTGCCTTAGGTCACGTGCTCAAAATTGTCAAATCACGAAACTTGTAGCAGATTTCGGCAAGAAAGCGTCATTAGAAACCAATTTTAATCCAACGAAATCGCTTGTTATAACTACGGAAAAAAAACAGTCGATGTTACGAGAATGTTGATGAAGGAATAAGCTTTCCAGCGATGTGTCATATGCCATTCTTCGAAGAACGGGGGTATTTCTTCATGTTACTGAGCGGACAGCCGCTGTTATCGGGAAATGGGTGATGACAGAAACTATTCATAATTCTTTTTTTAAAATGATTTTCCAATTACGTAAACAATGAAAATAAAACAGAAATAGGTAAGTTGATTTTATGAATTCTTATATTTGCCGAAAATCGTCAAGTTTTCCCTTCCTTGGTCCTTAATCTGGATGTTAACAACGTGTTTGCATACATTTTTTATTTACAACCAATTTAATTAAGTTGTAAATGCATTATTTTAAATAATGTGAAAAACATAACTTTCATATTTATAAACCATAGGATCAGACCTTTCAAATGGTGTATAACATGTAGTGGCAAATATATTTTACAAGCAGATATTTTCTTTGATAAATGTTGGCTTCATCTATCACACAAGAGTCTCTGGGAACTTGGTGTCCCAGCAGTAAACACTTCTGGTTGACTGGTGTTGAAAGAGTTAATGTTCAGACATCAGTTAAACATGTCTGACTTTGTTATTTACTAATTAGTGTGATGTTGATTATTCAAGTTCAGAGTTTCAGACAATTTGCCTTTCATTGATCATTGTGAGAAAATCACAAACCAGTGGTTGTTTTTACCAAATAGTTCTGCTGTTCCGATGACATTTAGAATGCATTTTTATTGCAGAAAATCCAGGTATTTAGTCAGGCTCCTTAACTCAGGTGTTTTGAGTCTTGCTATTGAGTGACATGTGCTGTGTTTGACACATGTTCTGAAGGAAAATATGAGTTATTTGATGAGAACTATTTTACATTAAACTTTCATCATCTTCCACCAGCTTGTGACATTATTTTTTGTATCGTATCGTACGTATCGTATCGTGACCCCACTATCGTGATACGTATCGTATCGTGACCTTGTGTATCGTCCCAGCCCTACTTATAACGAACTGACGGATATAACAAACTTACTTTTTGGTCCCGACTACTTGCTGTGGTCATGCTGTATATGTACTTATAACGAACTACGGTTATAACGAACTAAAATTAGTAGTCCCTTTGAGTTCGTTATAACCGTATTTTACTGTAATTCAAAGCCAATCTCAAGACGTACAGGTAAGCCTTCACTCGTGTTGAATATATCCAGATGCCTTGATGCGTTTCTAAATGATATACGAGCAAGTACCATATTTTCTTGCATATTGTGCGCATCCCTCAGGGGATTCGGTGTGGGCAGAATTTTCTAGTGTTATTCGCAGACAAAACTTACAACGTATAATTTGAATCCCTTCAGCGAATTCAGGTGAACAAACAGGTGATAACAAACTTGGTCAATACAATTTTGAGATAAAACATCTCTGTAGACATGATGACTTACCCTTTAAATTGTATTTCCAGTTCTGCTAGGCATTGTTTTATGTGCAGGTTGAGGAAAATGCTTTCAAAACATTTTGATCAGATAAATTTAATATTTTTTTACTGAATTCTGAGGTGAATTAAATTATTTTGGGTCACTGACATGTATACTGCAAAATGTTTTTGCCAATAGACATTTAAACATGTTAAACGCAGTACTTACTTGGAGTCAGTGTAATGTGTCTGAGTGTTGTGTCCATGTTAAACATGTTAAACTGCAGCATGGGCTAGTGGGCTAGCACTGTAATACTGCCTTGAGACCAGTCTGGCTCAAGCAACCACACTACCACATGCATGCACTTCGCAATGGGGCGGTCGGGTAGCCTAGTGGTTAAAGCATTCGCTCGTCACGCCAAAGACCTGGGTTCGATTCCCGACATGGGTACAATAAGTGAAGCCCATTTCTGGTGTCCCCCGCCGTGATATTGCCGGAATATTGCTAAAAGCGGCGTAAAACAATACTCACTCACTCACTCACTCACTCACTCACTCACTTCGCAATGTTAGTGATAAAACGGCAATATTGCTGACTCAGCTTTAAGCAACAAAGAACTTCCTCCTCCTGTGTTGTGTTGATGCTAACTGCTGTTGTGTGTTTTACAGCTATGAGGTGGGGAGTTGCAGATCGGTCCAAATTCCAGACGATGATTCCAAACTGCCTCTGTTGGCCAAACTGCAGGCTGACATACTGAAGGTAAATTTTCACACTAAATTTTCAGTGTTAGAATTTCACAGGGTATCAGGGGGGCACAGGTGGCCCAGTCGTTTAAGGTGCCGCGATTCGCTGTGCAGAGTTGCATCCCTTGGGCACGCCAGAAACCTATGATTGTGAATCCCGGTTCGCCCTGATGATGTTTCTAGGTTTGTCAGCTTCGGGCTTTCCTCCCACGTGAAGCTGACACGCGATATAACTGGAATACTGTTAAAAGCGGCGTTAAACCCAACTCACTCACTCACTCACAGGGTATCAAAGTCTTTCGGCTATAGTAACTTTTTGAAGTTGTTCTATGTACCCCAATATCGCTTTACTAATTATGTAATTATAAACAGTTACATCATCAATATTCCAGGCGGGATTCTGGTTTAGAATAGGTCCAATAAAACCTATGTTGGTGGTAAGAGTTGACTTAGTGGATCGGGTGGTCAGGCTCACTGGCTTAGTGTGTCCTCATACCCTGACTCTGTGGATCGTTGCTCACAATATTAATCACTGGATTGTGTGGTCCAGACTTGATTATTTACAGGTCACCGTCAACTAGATGAGGACGCACTAAACAACAATCAAACATCGCCACTGAAAAGGGTCCCTCGAATATTTTTTTCGACATTGATTTATGCAATGGCAAAATATTAATAGAGCTAAAAACAATTCTTCAAAAAAAAATTCAATTAATAGTTTACACATGACAGATGTATTTTCATATATTTCTTATAGCAAAATGTCAACTTCATGCATTTACACACAAAAAATATAGGTTGTTCTAAAGGAGAAATAACATGCTGGGTATGTTGATGAGGGTGAAACCCATGAAGAGCCAGCTTCAGCAACCTATGCTTGTCATAAGACACAACTAATGGGATCGGATGGTCAGGCACTCTGACTTGGTTGGTGCTATCATCGTATTCCAATTGTGTAGATCGATCCTCTTGATATCAATCTCTGGATTGTCAGGTCTAGTCTTGATTGTGTACAGACCGCCATCATATAGCTGGAATATTGCTGAGTGCAGCATTAAAAAAGAAACAAAATAATGAGGGGTGAGTAATAATATCATCGGTATTCCAGCCTCACATCTGGGTGTTGTGATTTCAGGTGCAGACAGTGATTGTATCAATGAATGCTCGGATATCGGCAATAGAGCAGTACATCGGTGATGGGCAGGAGTAGCCTCAGGAGGACACCAGACAGGTGCTTGATGTCCTCGCTAGGACGAAGCAGTGCCGGGATACAGAGGAGGCAGATTGAGTCCTTGAATACTTAGTGCTGAATCAGCACAAATTCTATTTCCCTGTGATACACGATTATTGGTGGAAACAAGTTTTCAGATCCAGCGTCAATGTTTTGATACCGATGGCTTTTCAGTTTGCCTGAAGGACTAAAACGAAACAAAGATGGAAGTTGATCATTTATTTTCTTTGTTTCATTTATTAAGTTGTTGTGTTATCTGTGGTTTGCGTACATGTTGAAGAATTCGGTGCCAATACCCCATGTTTAGTCTGTTATCAATGGTTATGTTACTGAGTACATATTGGGTTGTGTCATTCAGCAGCCAAGTCCTGAACAGTTTGGTTGTCATCTTGCCAGTTCAGTTTCTACAGTTTGACTGACTTTTCTCACATTGTAGGACTAACAATTATCTGCATGCTATTTTGTGGGGGAAACAAATCTGTGGATTATTTACCTTGAAAAGTAGACAATACAAGTTCTGAATACCAATGTTTGTTCTTGTATTGGGGGCGGTCACGTGGCCTAGTGGTTAAAGCGTTCGCTCGTCATGCTGAAGACCCAGGTTCAATTCCCGACGTGTACAATGTGTGAAGCCCATTTCTGGTGTCCCCCGCCGTGATATTGCTGGAATATTGCTAAATGCGGTGTAAAACCAAACTCACTCACTTCTGTACTGATATTGTCTGAATATTTTCATTGAACCGATGTATGAGTTGGTGTTTAGAAATGCACAGTGTTTGAAGATTGTTACCAAGTCACACTGTCAGAGAGGTTTTGTTCTCCTTAAAGGGGTGGCAGTGTCATGATATTATATATATGTACTACTCAAAACAAATTAAGTATTACCCAATTGTTTTGTCATGTCCTTAACCTTTTTTGCGATGAACATGTACAGTTCAGCAGGTGAGTTGTTAGGAACAGCTGTAGAGGAATTATTGTTAGTTTTTGTTTAGTTTTTAAGTTTGTATCAACAAACAAGCTATTGGTCAAATCAGAATAATTCTCTTCTTTTTTTTTATTTATTTTCTAATTGTTGCTTTGTGGCTTGTCAAATCCATGAACCAAGACATTTGGTAATTGTCTTTCAATAATAATATCTATGAAAGTCTTTAATTAGTCATTTCTCTTGGTGGCAGTAGTCCATCATTGCAGTCAAACCTCGTTGTGTTGAGGGCGTAGGGACCTTGGAAGTTAAGGCATAATTTGGATATGTTGGTTTCTCAAATGAGACAACCGGGAATTCGACACATCGAAGTTCAAAACACAAGGTCCGACTGTATTATGTAAATGATATATTAAGGTTACATTACTTTGATGTTGAACATTAATCTGAAAGGTACAATACTGAAATATGATGATGTGTTTTGTGTATCTGATGATGCTGACCTATGATGTAAGCAAGACATCATCTATCATAGACATGCAGATGTAGCATTGCACTGTACTCTCATTGAAAACAAATACAGTGCCTCTATTTGGATTCCAGGTTAGAATTGGTCCTCAGCAGCCTAGGCTTGTACGGGCAACTTGGTGCATCAGTACGGTGAAGTGTGTCAATGTACTCTGATAGTTGCTCCTAATACCTATCACTAGGTTGTATTGTCCAGACTCGATTATTTCCAGGCCACAGTCATATAGCTGAAATATTGCTGAGTGTGTCGTTAAACAACAAACAATTCATCAAAAGAGTTTTTCTTATGATAATTTGACACATTTTGGGCTTTCCACACTGTTTTTGTTTGTGTACAATGACTGATTCGTGTGTTTTGGATATGCTACGGATTCCTGTGTTATAGATAGGATTCTTGTTTCTGTCAAATCTCTGTCCTCATATTGGTAGAATCACAGTCAATGTTCACCTGGATATGTTCTACTTATATCTGGAAACAGTTTTGACAGAAATGTAATGAACATTGTCGATAAAACATGATGAAAATAGTTTGTTTTAGAACCTGTTTTAGGACTAATCTTCCCCTAAGTGAAAACCATATATATCTGAAATGCTTTGATGAAATATACCACTCAAAAGACGTAAAAGAACATCCGATTCTTTCACATTACTTAGTTGATATGAAAGAATCAGGTGTTCTTAAACTTCTTTTGAGTAGTATATAACATATCTTATTTTTCACAAATATAATGTTTAATATACCACAAATCATACCTAACAAAATAATTTGTTCCTTTTGGCATATCGATAAAAACAAGTATCTGTGAAACAAGATATTTCATTGGTCAGTCCTTACAAACTCTGTATGTGTCCTTGAGTGAGTGAATGTTGTTTCTAGTGTTCACAGGGGGCACGGGCGGCCCAGACGTCTAAGGCGCCGCGATTTGCTGTGCAGAGTTGCGTCCCTTGGGCACGCCAGAAACCTATGATTGTGGGTTCGGATCCGGTTTGCCCCAATTATGTTTCTATGTTTGTCAGCACCATACCCGTGCTCGTGGGTTTTACCGAAGTGGTAAACGTCTGAGACCTGCATCACTTCGGGCTTTCCTCCCACATTAAGGACACACCGCGATATAACTGGAATACTGTTAAAAGCGGAGTTAAACCCAACTCACTCTAGTGTTCACATAGTGCTGTGAATACTCATGACCAACAAACTAGAATTTGATTGTATGATCAATGGTTCATATTACATAGTCTGTAATGGTAGTCACACATTATATTTAGTCAGCTTCTATTACATCTTCCTGAGGCAAGGGAGTTATCTGACTATTAAAAACCAGTGGAAACTCCCTTGCCTGGGGAAAATGTTTTCATAACTGGCACTTGGAACCTATTCTAGCAATTAATATTCTTCAGTTAATACAATATCTATTCTAAATTGCCTAACTGATTACTTTTTCGTAGGAAGTTGTTCATTGATAATGAGATTATGACTTTGTATTATGATATAAATATTGTAAATAAATATGACTTTAAATATTAATTTTGTTTGTGTTGAATGTTCCATCAATTGTTTGCTTACTTCAAGTATTGTAAATTTGTTTAAAGAAATTCCAACATTTTGTTGAAGGCTATCAGTACACGATTCCCATTCTCAAGATGATCATGACACAGGCAATCAAACTGTTTGTTTCTTGTCAAAAGAGAACATTCTGTTATAATAGATGTATGAATCTCCCAGATCTTAACAAAAACATTTACATCCAGGATATCACCTAGGTTGTTAAAAAGTAAATTTCGGTCATCCTTATTGATCGTACAAGACATAAACATGTTCTTTACAACATCATTGACAACAGTTTTACTATAGCATTCTCTAGAAACAATTTGAGCTGATTTATAATATGCTGAACCTAATGTCCTGAAATCTAAAATGGATATTTTTCTTTGTTGGACGATCAGGGGTATTATAACTCCTATTTGGTCCCCTCAGAATTCAATAGAGATCGTTCAGATGACTGCCCGCTTACGTTTGTCTTGCACATTAATATCAAACTCATAAAACCAAAGGACAGACGTGTGGCCCAGTGGCATTAAAATGTGGTTTTGGGAGGGAAATCAAACAAACCGACACAAAAAAAAAGGAAATTAAAAGAGGAAGCAAAATCAAATATATCTTTTCGCATCTTGCCTGGAAGGCAAGGTTCCCGGCCGCGTCATTCCGACACACGTTAACAGATGGTGCTTCTCGTTATTTTGTCCGTCACTCGGCATTAAGGGGCTAAGACAAGGACTGGTCGGCTCGGAGTCATTATACTGTGTCTGAGTGGGTTATTCGTGTTAAACTGCGGCGTGGTATCTCAGTGGGCTAGCACTATAAAAGCGACATGAATGAGTGAGTGAGTATGGTTTTACGCCGCTTTTAGCAGTATTCCAGTAATATCACGGCGGGGAATACCAGAAATGGGCTTCACAAATTGTATCCTTGTCGGGAATCGAACATGGGTCTTCGGCGTGACGAGCGAACGCTTTAACCACTGGGCTACCCGACCGCCCATATGCCCGGACTCACAAGTATACAAACGCACGAACACAAAAACACAAACGCGCGAGCCCATGCTCGTCGTGTATGTGCAATAATTTTGAACGCAACGATAACCCCCAATTCACCTTACCTCGCCGGCTGCTTGCCATGTACAAACTTGCGTGTTTTTCATTTATTACATGGGCGGGCAGTAAAAATGACTGAGAGAGGATTTCGATATTTTGGACCCTTCCCTTTTAAAAATGCTGGATCCGCGTTTGTATTAGTAGCAGTTCTAATCTGGAAGCTGAATCTTATTTTATATATTTTTCGACAATGTTTGGCCAATTGTTTTGTAAAACATCTAATAATAAATAATAGTCCTAGGAGCAAGCCAGCGGCCACATATGTCAGCAAATGTCTACAATGTTTACCAAAGTGAGATGTTTTTAGATACCCTAATGCTTTTCATCCCCAGCAAGTGCTTAACCAAAGTGAGATGTGGCTAACCACTTGCTGAGGATGAAAAAGTATTATGGTATCTTAAGACATTTAGTCACCATATGATTTAATGTAAGTCCAAATCTTGAAACTTCTCCCAATAGAAATTCTATCCGCCCTACTCGCAAGAAAAGGTCATTTTCACATCTTATCCATGACCTTACCTTTTGAAAGAAATGACCTAATTAACCCATGTGTCTATAATCAATAATAATTATGTATTTTCGTGATATCAAACTGTTTTTCTGTCTGTGAGTACTGGGCTGGGGCAACTGTCAGAGCAAGATAGAGATAACTACTCGTTGAAAAATAACACTTTACCTGTCTGGTGAATCAACTTTATGACTTTGATCAATTGATCAATAAAGGATTATCCTATAGAGATAATGTCACAGTTCCACACAAGGCAGTTATTGCTGCGTCTAGACTGTTTAATGCCCACACCTCGTTAATCAACTACGGTTAGGCTGGAGAATTGTTTCCCGTCAACATTATACACTCAGATAGGCTTATAAAGATGGACTGTCATTTTATTCCACATCCATATAAAGAAACAGTATAGTTTCTTTTCAGATAAACAGCAGCAATAATCCAGTGCCCCGTGAAGATCCGGCTTAGAAATGGTCTTCAGCAACCCACGCTTGCAAGAAGCGACTAACGGGATCGGGTGGTCAGGCTCGCTAAATTGGTTCATGCATGTCATCGTATCCCAATTGCGTAGATCGATGCTCATGATGTCAATCACTGGATTGTCTCGTCCAGACTCGATTATTTACAGACCGCCGTCATATAGCTGGAATATTGCTGATTGTGGCGTAAAACAAAAAACAACAACAACAACAACAACAACAACAAAATCTGGAGCGGTATCCGAATGCATGATATTGTCATTACTATCTCGTGTTTACTTTGGCCATCGCTCTGCCGAATTAATTGATACCAGAGACCATACAATAATCTATTATATGGTCTCTGTTGATACTGACTCAGATTGAAGTTCTAACCTAACATTCTCTTTGTATTTGGTAGGGTAAAAAACTGTGTCTACTTAAATCTGCAATTGGCTAGTAATAAAATATCTAGCCAAGCCAGTTTGGCTGGTGCTGTTGAAACATTATTTCACACACTGCTCACGTGTATGTGTTGTGAATGGTATCA